CAAATACAAAATGAATTTTTCGATTGAGATCATGAATCGATTGATGTTAAACCACCATAGGAAATCTGGAAGCACTGGATGGCTGCTTCATCCAAGTATGGGACTATTCAACAGTGGGCATCCACGATCCTGCATGTGGGATTCAGACACAGGATGTTCTATCTCGCACTCAAACAATATTTAACCTCCAGACCACTGAATTATCTTCATTTTGCTTGATAAGAAACTCATTTTAAAATTATAATCCATCGGGTAAAAAATTTAAACAACAATGAATAATAATACAAACATGCAATAACTTGACAATATACTGCTCACCATACATAGTATATTCATTGAATATTGAACTTAAAAACTGTACAGAATTCTCTTTCAATTGTAATTTATTCTCTTGTGGATTAAACATGAACCAATTAAATATTTCGATGTTATTTTGGCTACTATTACTATTATTAGTAGTATTAGTTAATTTGTTTGAATCCACCTCTTTTGTGCACTTTTGTTGTTGTTGTTCTTCTTCTCGGTGATAATTTTGTTGTTGATTGGTTAAACGATGTAAAAATGGTAGTAAAGAACCTTTACGATGAAAATATAATACAGCATAATTTGAGCGTAGAAAATATTCCGCAGAAAGTGCACCTCTTAAACCTGTACTGTTATTTGAAAAAAACAAACAAACAATATAGTCAAGTTGAATTTTCAATGCATACACATCGTAATCTATCATAATGAGATACATAAACTGAATTCATAAGAACTGCACAAAATTAAAGTAGCAATTTTATCCACTTTAAATCGTACCCTATATATAGCAAACAACTGGCTTATAGTCCTATATGAACTCAGAATCTTAGAATAGAATCATGAGTACACACAACTTTTTAAAAGTTCAATTCATCAGTAATCATCTGGATATTAGATCGGCGATCAGAAAGCAAATACATACCAGTATAAAAGGTTATCCTAATCTTGAATAATTTTTAGTTTTCATGGTCATCGTAAGCGTTTGTACTTGGATGCCTATCGGAGAGAAGAGGAATATTTAATAAGGACTCTTGAAATATTTGATGTATCTTTAAGATTCATATCTGACATCCAAACTACGTTACGAACAAGTTTTCAATCTATCAACGTACAACGAAACCCAATATACAACTATCCTATGATTGACAATGATAGGTGTTAGGGATAAGCATTAGAGCTGAAGTTGTACCATGGAACTGAATTCTTACTGCAATAAACTTATGTAGTGTTTAGCTGAAAACCTCAATTATAATGAAAAATAACCAGATGTATCATTTATTAGTGATATTTGGTCCTTCTGAGTGCAATCATAAAACTGTCCAAGAGCTAAGTTCTTATGTATTAAATGGAACACAGGTTGGTTCCGAGAAAGGAAGATACGTATATTATTAATTCGACAAACAGCCAATAAAAACATGTTAAATCTAAAGAGAAAATTAGTGAGATCCTGAAATAAATATTTTAAATATTATCTGAAAAATTGTTGAGCAACAGTTAGACAGCAACAATTATACGATGAAACGGGATTCAACACTTATTTTAAGGATAACTATTTAGGTCTTAGTGTACTATGAATAAAGTTGAAATCCCGAATTACTGATCCATCCTACATGGAGATTATCAAACAGATCTAAATGTTGATGTACACATACTGTGGGACTCGAACACAGTTCCTATCACTACAAACATTAAAGCATTACCCATTAGAATAGAGTAAACAATCTTATCTGAATAATGAACTTACCTGAAATTATCAATATACCTAACCATATTTGTTTCTAAAGGAACAATAGTACCTCCAGAAGTGATGCAAACAATTTTATTTATTGTAGGGTGATCTAATATTTTGTTTAGCCATGAATTGAGACGATATTCCATTGAAGATCTGTTATCATGTCTACTACTATTTTCAATTTCCAATTTATCCAACCAAGAATCCAGTAAATTCATTTTTGTTTGATAATACTTGTTATAAAATCTAATAAATTATAAATCAGTAAACAAAAGTAGTGAATTAAATTTTGAAAAGAATGTTTGAAGTTACTCATAAGTAGAATAAAAAACAATCAAAGAGTTCATGGGTAAATTCGGACTATAGTTTAATATATTACTGAAAGAATGAGTTTAATGAGAATGTGAATAAGTTACTTTGATATTACCAAGTTACTGTAAGAAGATTTAATCATTATTCATCTAGTTCAGCTATGTAAAAAACTTTAATGGATTTCCTGACATATCAGACTACTGACTAATTTGCATGCACATTATATTGATAACTTGAAAAAAATTTACAATCAAGGGTAAACATTCCCCAATTGAAAGGCAATGGATTCAATATTAAAATGAAATGGAGAACTGGTTGAAGAATTCCACTTTTACCCATTTAATGTCATGTGGGAATTTTCGCCTAACTAGTTTTTTTCAACAAAACAAGTAGTATCACTAGCCCACACAAAAGTATGGTTCATAAACGAATAAAGCACTGTTTACTTGGGTATACAAGTCTACAAGACAGTCCGATTTCCCAATAAATATAAGTAGATCGCTCCAGTGTTTCTTGAAGTTTTCATGACTGATCAAAATCCATGCGTATGTGCGATCAAGTTGCATTTTGAAAATCTATTCAGTTATAACAATTAATATTACTGGTCTACTATGACCTAATGTATTCAATTTTGAAGGACTGTTTTTGTAAAAGCAAATGAGACCACAAGTTACCCTTAAATTTAAGTGAGTAAGGATGAATCTTAATGTCAAAACTACTGACTGAAGGTGAAACCAAGTGACTATTACACAGAAAATATTAGTGGTAGGTGGACGTTTAACAAGAGGTGATTGAGACTTTAAATTATGTAAACACCTATCAATGATGTTCATCATGAGATAACTCATTACTAAAGGAATTTGACCGTACGGTCATAGGTTCAAATAAATAGACATCACCGTAAGTAGTTCTTATGTTAGTGATCCTATGACTTAAATTATTTCTAAGCCAACATGGAATTCAATATTTTCAGGAAGTTAGCATATGTTCTAGATATACTAATGGTGGAACATTTCTATTGCCTCTAGGTTTTGTTCAGAATATAAATGTTAACGAAGGCACTGGTAGTTGTTACAAATAAAGTACAGTAGAATCTTACCGCACACCAAAACTTCCTTTTACTTGGGATCGTGAACCGATCAATGTTAGACCGAAATTGAAAACGTGAAAGTACTAGACAACTGTCCCATCCTGGTGTGGGACTTTTCAGCAGTACACACCCACGAGCCTAGAGTCTTCGGTGTCGTGCACGAACGCTTGACCTCTAGACCACGTCTACATTCTTTTTCTTATCCAAAACACAGTATTATATCTCGATAATCAATTTAGTAGACAAGTTAAGCATAACTAACCATAAATTTAGGAAATTTTTTACCTAATAAAATAGTATACTTATAAACACGTTGACAGAAAACCTAACATAATCAAACATCATAGGCGATTGAAGAAAATCAGTGTTGTATTTCATTAACTTTATAATCAATAAAAATTTGAATGTATTAGGCTTAATTCTTCTCTATTATATCCGTGTACAATTCACTAAATAACTATAACTATGTATAAAGAGATACAGTCATTTATTCATTATGTTGACGACTTTCATTCATTCTTTAGGATATAAACATCAAATGTACGAAAATGATTTAGAATAATTTTACGAATAACCAAATGAAGACAGTAATTTATTCATAATAATCCTAATAGTTGAGAACATGAATCAATTCAAGCTAGACCATCATGGAAAACCTAGAAGCACTGGACGGCCGTTTCGTCCTAGTATGAGACTCCTCAGCAGTGCGGATAATTTCTTCTGTATAGACATGACAAAAAAGGTATTAAAATGAATGTTTACGATATTACGCAACAGACAAGTAACCAACATAACACTTTCCTTTGGTAAATTTAACTAAATATATATATAAGTAAATATATATGTATTTATTTATGTATATTTCAAACTAACAAAATGAATAAGAAAGAAAGTTCCTCTTCAACAGTCAAGTTTGAAATCTTGTATGTATATGATAAGGAATTATCGCGCAAAAAAAACAAACCACATTTCAACCAATTAAGAATTACATAGGTATAATGTGCACAAAGAGCTTGTACATGTACAAGGAATAGAGAAAAACAAATTTACACCTAGAAAACAAAGAAGTAAAAGAGAGAAAAAAAAGAAGGAAGAAATTACTGTACAACGACAACAATATAAACAACACATAATCGGAACATTTTATTATCATGACAACTGACTTATTATCATTATTATTTGTCTTGATCAATTCCATTTGTTATTATACAAGATTATGAATAGATGACTGTGCTCAAAAAATAATTCAAATTAAAACAAAGATACTAGTACTATTAAGATAATTAATTTTAACGATATGTGTGTTGTAATAGAACCCCCCCAAAAAATATCAAAAGGTGAAGATAAGACAAAGTGGAGGTGAATAATAAGAAGAAAAAGCAATAGGCGAGAATAGGACAATAGAAAGGTAAATAAGCAGAGAAAAGAAAGGCACACTTGAATGTATGGAAGAGTATGATTAAGATTAAACACAATGTAGAAATTATTCTGTTGTTATAAATATTATAAAACAAGGAAAAATATGATGAAATAGATATCTTTTTCTATTAAAAAAAAAGAAAGAAAGAGAGAAACAACAATAAACAAACAAGATTATCTAAAGAAGTCTTATTTAACTTTTCTTTTTTTTTACGGAAGAGAAAAAAAGGGGGAAATCATTGATACATGTAAAAATGAAAAGATACAATAATGTACAAATTTTGAAAGATCAAATTAGGGCATACACATGTGGGATACCATACATAATACTATATAATAATAATAATGATAACAATATGATGATTTTAATGAATTTCAAAATATTAACATAATATACAAAAAGATATTTTCTTGATTGTCATATTAGTCAGTAGTTGATAGAATACTTCTAATTGCTGCATCAATATCTGGATCTTCAGAGTGTTGAACTGTTGGTAAACTATGAGTTTGTCCATTGTCTAGTAAACGTAATGATTTATTAGGTGGTTCATCCTAAAAAAAAAATAAAAAAAAGAATGAACTAAGGCAGATATGTCCATCACAGTGGAAATGAATTGTTTTTGAACATACATAATGTATATAACTATTAACTTGTTACCGAATACAAATATATATTTTTGGATTTATTCAAGTCATACTCTAAGTATATGAATGCCTTGAACATTAAGCCACCGTGTTACACTACATATAAAGATTTCAATTTTTGAGCGAATAGAGGATATTCCAAACTGAAGAATGTTGAAGATGTTGTCGACACTTTTTTGGTTACTCCAAACTGTAAAACACGACTGCTTATTTTGTACAAAATTCAAGGAGTACAAATGCATCCACTAGTACAGATATTCATTAATGATTGAAGAAAATAACTATTACAACAATCATAGCTGAAGGTGTATTACCAAACTTTGATTGTACATTGAATGGCAAGATAATCGATATTTAAAACACGTTAGGATGATGATCTTGTTAAAGTTTCATATTATTTACTTTTGCTATTCTGATGTGAAATATTGATTCAGCAATAATCAATTTTATAGAAACAGATTGGTATTTTTATGTTAAGATTCGAGTTGCATCGAACTTTAACGAAATTGACAGCTGTTTTTCTTTGAACATTCATCGAAGCGACTAGAAAAAGGATCGACATTCGAATAATACAATAAAATGCCACACATACTTTACAACGAATATGTATATCTCGGCCGTAGGTGCTACCATGACGTGGTGGTCAAGCTTGTCTATCGTGATGACCTGATAGGGTTATATTACAAAGAACACTTGTTCTTTCACGTCCAACCATACGAACCAAATAGGTCGTTTGGAGAAATGAAAGACTATAAACAGCAGATCAATGTTCCAGGATGAATTCGTACTGTTGAATGTAAAGGGGTGTGACAACATCAAGATATTTCTTTCAGACAATTAGTATCTCACAACCGAAGGGGTTAAGAATGGTCGAACTTAAAAACACTATACCTCATCTTATCCTATAGCTTTCCGTATCCGGAAGTAAGGCCTTCAAAGCCCATATATGACCGAACTCAAGCAGTTGTCTGTTGAGTTTTGTGGTCATTAAGATTATGATCAATTCAGTTTTCTTTTCAGGCCTCTCACGAAGAAGCATTTTTTCACGACGTGGAAATTGATGTGACCACCCCCACACATCATTTACAACCTCCAACATGCATATACTTTGAAAATTATTCACGTCTACAAAAATAGGTTGGATTCGAAAAAAAAGAAACTTAGATAGGCGAAATATGTGTATGAAATAAATAAAGATGATTACCAATAAATTAGATTCATTATCAAAATTATTCTCTATTAGACCGGCATTCATATCCTCAATATTGATACTTCTATCATGCATTAATTCTTGCCAAAATGCATAAGCTTCATCGAATTCTCCATCGTCACTATCACCACCACCCCCATCGCATTCCGAATGATTTCTAATACCTCCAGTAGATTGATTATTATTATTATCGAGTACACCATTTGTAGAATTGTTATCCAATAATTTTGACCGATTAATAATTAAAGCTGGAATACCACTACTATTACTACTACAACCACCACCACCAAGACCAAGTAGTCGATCCGCTTCAGCTTCATCCGACGATTCATCATTTACATCCTCATCATAATCATTGTGTTTTTCTACTAGCAAATTATTTGCTAAGTTAACGGTATTTGATTCAGACATTGAATTAATTAATATCACATTATTGGAAGAAGAATCAGTAGAAGATTGTATTTGAACGTGCGTATTATTTTCATTGTGTGCTGTAAACTCTGAGTCGTTTGAAGGGAGTTTAATTTCAGCTACAGTTGTGTTACCATTAGTATCAAAGTTTAAAGGACGTAGATAGGCTAGAGGACCTAAGAGATCACACCATGGTGAAGGAAGCAAAGAAACTGAATGCTTTAAAATGGGAGTAATTTTCTTGTTCAGATGCCTTTTATCATCAATATATTTGTTGGATATAGATTGCTCATTTACTGACTCAACAATAATTGGTTTCTTATCATTATCATCATTATGAATACCAACACAATTCTCTTTTTTGTCACAATTTAACGCTTCTGCAAATATTTCTTTTTCAGTAGTAAATACATCACGTTCCAAATCTAAAGCCATGTTAGCTACCAGTAAACGGTCTTCTAAAAATGGTTCTAGTTTATGCTGTTCATAGTTCAGAAGAAAAGAATAAATTGAAAACAGAAAGTGTTATCAATATTGTCAGGATGGAGGAAAAAGGCATAATTGTAAACTTTATTCTCGGCTTATTACCATGTATTATACAATTTTTAAAGAGTATTTTAATGAGTTAGCAATTACACGTCATGTGTCTGACACTGTGCTCTATGAAAACGATTAAACTTACGCTGTGGATGGGCACTACTGAGGAGTCTCATACTAGGACGAAACAGTAGTACAGTGCTTTCAGACTTGGATAAGATGAAGAAAAATCCACAGCCTGCTGAAAGCGATTAATCCTATTATTATTATTATTATTATTATTATTATTATTATTATTCGGAAATTCTTCAAATGCTCAACGTCACCAATGAATAGAATGCATTGATGATATATACATATATAAGTAAATTAAACGCTCTTAGTGAGAACTATAAAGATTGCTAGAGAAGCTGTAACCAATGGAGTTTAAACGTATACGGTGTGAGGAAGTTACCCATCGAAGACAATTGAAGATGCTCGTGCAATATCGTGAATTGGTTGAAGCCAAACAATCGTCTAGATATTAGGAGCTCACGCGTGAGGCCGAATGCCCTGATTTCGAGTCTTATGTGAAGGAACGTGAACGAGACGGCCATCCAGTACTTCTATAGTGGTCTAAAATTAATCGATTCACGATCTCGACAAAAACTACAAGTATGATTTAAAGTTAAGACGACTACCAATCTCATGTACGAACGGAACTATAGGGTATAAATGGTTCAGCGAAGAGATTAACTTCTAAAGAATTTCTAACGAAAACAAAGACTTAGCCAAGTGTATTGCTATAAATTTGCAATTGTTGTTTAGAGGGGATATCATCAATGCATCCCAACTTTTGTGGATTTTTAATACCACAGTTAGCATTTTTGTTAAATGTAGTTTATATACATATATACATACCAATGATTCCTTGAAAATTAAAGAGTTCACAGCTTCAATTGTTTCTTTTTTCTTCTGTAAAAGTAGATTAACAGATTTTTCCAATATTAGGTCAACTAAAATTATGATAAGATAGAGAAAGAAAAAGAGATCAATAGGTGAATAAAAATTTTTTATTATTTCTTTTTACAGACTCAACTCATTTAAGTGAAAACAAATATGAACAGTAGTACCAGTTAAGGTGAGTAAAATAAACAAATAATTCATTGTAAGATTGTGCCACTTATAAGTTTTAAAATGTGTATACTTTACTTTAAATTTGATTTGAATGTTTATAATGAATATATAAGTTCTTATATGTTTATTAATACATAATGTTGTAAGCAGAGATAAATGGTGGATAACAGTGAGATCTCCCAGAGTTGATCTTCACTCCAGGATAATATGAGACTGATCAATTGCATTCCTAAACATCAATCGGAAGACTCAAACAACCAATAAAAAATTAATGTTTCAGAATGGGTTTTGTGGAGAGTTTTAGAAATTTCACAGGTTGAAATCATGAGTCAGTTGAAGCTAGACCACCATTGAAAACCTGGAAGCACTGAACGGCCGTTTCGTCCTGGTATGGGACTCCTCAGCAGTGCGCATCCACGATCCTGCACCACGCAGGGCTCGAACCCAGGACCTACTGGCTTCGCACGCGAGCCGGCTCAGTGGTCTAGTGATACCTTACTACTCTTTCAGAAAATTTTAAGTAGAAATAAAGAGAAGAAAGATGAAAAGCTACAGTATAAATCAATTTTATTTATAACTCTTAAGGTCTACTTCTTTTTTCCTCAGTTGGTAAAGTAAAAAAACTTAAACGAATGACCACTTTAACTCTACTTATATATTTTTTGTTTAGGATTGAAATTTCAAACATATTAAAAAATCCATTCATGATACATAATAATCACTTATTAACTAGGAGAGAATTGTCAAACGAAACAATAATTTATGTAGAGATAGTCTGTGACGAATACAATCTATACAAAACTCCACATCAAATAATCAACTTACTAGTGACTTTAGGAAGTTCCTAAATTTATACTAAGAGGTCATGACTAAAATGAAATTCAGATATATAAGGAGTCAAACGATTGTGACCTCGTTAGGCTATATCGGAAATTGATTAAAATTAGAGTAGTATCACTGGTTCTAATCGTTAACCGTACAGATTGATCTGTAAAGGTCCTGAGTCTGATTTACGGCGTGGTTATAGATGAAAGCTGGTGAACAGTCCCAAACTACGATGAAAGAGCTGTCCAGTGTTCTCTGGTGGGTCTTCAATGGTACACCAAGTGAGGTCAGTTTGGGACGAACACAACCTACAAATCAAACCAATCACCACCACATCTCTTGAACAATAATTTTTCTAGTTCTCATCAACTGCTTATAACATCAAGTTGAGTTATAAGCCGCTAACGAGAAGCAAACGTAATAAGATGAACTCATATTGTTCTGCTAAAATTCCTGTTCCTGATCTCATCAAGGTTTCTAAAGGGTCCTAAGTGTATAGAATTAATGTGAATGGTTACTATTATTACTGAAATGAACCAACCTTTATCTAAGGCTTCTTTAGTATTATCTGCATCATTAAGAACGTGATAAGGTGCCAACGCTTCAAGTAGTTCTAATGGACTTGGTAATTTTGTTGGATCATTAGTTTGTAATGTTGGCGGTTTGTCGACTGCTAATCTAAGATCATTTGTTAAATAAGCGCGAAGTCGACCTATTCTAGCAGCCTGAAATTAAATAATAAGAAATATGTGGTAAGAAAACCAGTTTCTTATTAGACTTGTAAAAACAAGTAGTAGACTAATTTTACTAAATTATACAGTTAGTAATGGGGTAACTTAATGTAATCTGTAAGATAGGAGAAAGAAAAAATCTCAAATATCAAGTATGTGTCGATGTAATATACTAAAGTCGGGATAAGAGTAGCGTGATAGACCGAGAAGTTCACAATTCTTTATGTAATCTAGATATTGTTAAATATCGACAACAATCAAGGTATTGAGGTTTCCAGTTAGCCTACAGTAAATTCTATTTGCCGTCAGGGTTTATTTGATAACGACGAAACGAACAAGCACTTGAGTAGACTGGATGTTTGTCACACTACAACACTTCAATATTAATATTATTATTCAGTGCAAATGCATTATGTGTGTTTACTGAATGGTCGGACCACTTTTTTTCTTCTAGAACATCTCTTACACACACTCAGAAAATAAGGTACCCCCTCAGACTATATGTAGACACTTACATTACAAAATATCATCGAAGTTATATCTTTTAGAGTAAGAAATATGTAATAACCAAAAACTAGATAACCTGATCATTTGTTGGTAGACTAATAGTTAACGGATATTCTAAAAAAATTTCCAGCGTACTATCATCTTAGTCAGGATAACATCTTTAAATCGATGAACGTCTGGAATAAAGTCACTTGAATTCTAACCTGTTCACATAAAGTCGAATCTTACTAGTGTTCAATTAATGATTTCACTATACATAAACAGCAACTTGAAAACTCTTAATATCTCATTTCTGTAATTATATTGTACGCTAGTCCTCGGATATCGTGCTTAACAGATGTAAGTAATAGAAAGAAGTGGATTGATTGGTAAAAACTACTCTTGATGGGCCATTCGGATATCTGAAGCTATGGGCAAGGAAATATTTGTTTATTTATAGAGGAAAAATCACTGAAAAAATTGATAACATAGTCAAACAACTTACGTGTTGAATATTCAGTGCTACGGGTCGTATCGAATTAACAACATTAATAGATTCAGGTGGTAATGTGAATGGACCAGACTGTGTACAGAATCCACTAGTATTAGGAGTTAGAATTGTAGTACCAGTAGAATTGACTACAGTTGAATTTGATAAAACAAAGTTTTGCGCTGCATTATTCACAGTTGAACCAAATGAAGTTGTAGGTATTGTTGTTAGTAAACCACTTGTTGCATTTATAGTGGACATCATTGCTGAGGACATTGAAAGACTAGGTGAAACTGTAGGAATATTTACTGCAGCAGAGTTTAAAGCTAAAGCGGGTGCAAACACTGACGAAAAATAATGAGCGAGGGAAGGAAATTGGTGAAAATGATGAGAATTAATTAGCATTTTTGAACGAAATGAATAGTTTGAAAGAGAATATTTCAAAAAGCACAAGTTTATAGATAGTTGTGGTACGTCAGTCATTTATTATATTTAAAAGTAATCAGCTGGGGTAGTTCGGATATGTTTTAGGCACGCTTACATAAATATTACTTATTTTGAAACGAAATGCCGGTCAGCGTACAAGTCGATCGAAAAAAGATTAAGAGTGGTAATAAGAAATAGAGTCAATTTACAAGATATATGATCTTTATAGTTGAAGATCTTAAGTGATAAGGTTCAAAATTGATCGCAGAGTCATAAATTTATTTACTTTATATCGTACTCTAAATATTGACAATAGTATTAATCCTTACTATCTACTATTCCCCAAATTTGTCTTTTTAAAACTATACTTGATATGCTGAATTCGTAACTTTTATTAACATTATTACACTATTTTTAAATAAACAGGATCCAGAGAAGAAAATTTTCTTTCCGACGAAGTCACTTAAGCTGTACATTTTTGTATTTATAGTTATAGGGTAAATATATGTTTATAGAAGGATAGAAGATTGCATCATATATTGATTGGAGAATCTTTTTGTCAAATGAAGTTACGCAATAATCAAGGGGTAAGAAGAGAATATAAGGATGAAAATAATTTAAGGTATTGGCAATCCAGCAACTCAAGCCCAAACTATGCGTGCAAAAACGATACGTCCAACCTCTCATCCTTCCTTGACTCAAATTCCCTTTTTTTGTATGTTTTGATTATTATTTTTCGACTTTTTTAAAATTAGTGTTTTGTAATTTTAAATCGTAATCAGTTATTATTATCAATAAACAATTTTTCATGATTATAATACAGTTTTTATTATTATGACCTTTATGTTCTTCGTTTTTCTTCCTATCTGTCAAGTGGAAAAGTATCCACCTAAAGGAGTTGGAAAAACCCTGATTCCAAACCAATGGTGCACATGAGCTCCAGGATCCTAAGGAATTAAATGGAGTATGAACCTGTTTTTGGTCACCGTCTACCATGGGACTGAATCTCCTAATGTTGTTCCATTGCCTTGTGGATTAGACCTATAGGTTAAAGGCTCGAGGAGTGGCATTTTAAGGAAACGACGTGCTTCGGTTAGGGCGCCCAAGCAGTATTCCAGCCCTCACACAAGTGGAATGATGAAGTGTAATTACTTACTTACGCCTGTTACTCCCAATAAAGCATAGGCCACCGACCAGCATTCTCCAACTCACTCTGTCCTGGGCCTTCTTTTCTAGTTCCATCCAATAATTGTTCATTTTTCTCATGTCTATTTCCATTTCCCGGCGTAATGTGTTCTTTGGTCTTCCTCTCCTCCTTTGGCCTTGAGGATTCCATGTGAGGGCTTGTCTTGTGACACAGTTGGGTGCTTTCCTCAATGTGTGTCTTATCCACTTCCAGCGCTTCTTCCTGATTTCTTCCTCCGCCGGGATCTGGTTTGTTCACTCCCACAGTAAGTTGTTGCAAATAGTGTCCGGCCAACGGATCTGAAGTATTTTGCGTAGAGAACTGTTAATAAACACCTGTATCTTCTGGATGATTGCTTTCGAAGTTCCCCAGGTTTCCGCCCCATACAGTAGAACTGTCTTGACATTTGTATTGAAAATCCTGACCTTGGTGTTGGTTGACAGTTGTTTTGAGCTCCAGATGTTCTTCAGTTATTAATATGCTGCTCTTGCTTTATCGATCCGCGCTTTCACATCTGCATCAGATCCACCTTGTTCATCAATGATACTGCCCAGATATGTAAAGGTTTTTACATCTTCCAAATCTTCTCCATCAATTGTGATTGGATTGGTCCATGCTGTGTTGTATCGGAGAACCTTGCTTTTCCTTTTGTTTTTATTGAGATCTATTGCTGCTGAGGCTGCTGCTACACTGGTCGTCTTCTCCTGCATTTGTTGTTGCGTTTGGGATAGAAGGGCCAGATCATCTGCGAGGTCTAGATCGTCCAATTGCATCCTAGATGTCCATTGTATCCCGTGCTTCCCTTCAGATGTTGACGTCTTCATGATCCAGTCGATCACCAGGAGAAAGAGAAAGGGTGAGATTAAGAAACCTTGCCTGACACCGGTCTTCACTTCGAACGACTTTGTCAACTGTCCTCCATGCAAGATTTTGCAGTGTAATCCATCATATGAACTATGTATGATATTAACTATCTTTTGAGGCACGCCGTAGTGTCGAAGAAGCTTCCATATTGTTGTCCTGTCCACGCTGTCAAATGCTTTTTCGTAGTCAATGAAGTTGATGTAGAGTGATGAATTCCATTCAATTGATTGTTCCACAATGATCCGTAGAGTTGCGATTTGGTCTGTACACGATCTATCCTTACGGAATCCTGCTTGTTCGTCACGAAGTTGGGCGTCTAAGCAGTCCTTCATCCTGTTTAACAATATTCTGTTGAAGACACTTCCTGGTATTGAGAGAAGAGTGATGCCACTGTAGTTATCACAGTTGCTGAGATCGCCTTTCTTTGGTATTTTGATCAGAAGTCCTTCTTTCCAGTCTGTTGGTACCTGTTCCTCATCCCAAATCTTATTGAAGAGAATGTGGAGTATCCTTGCAGTTGCCGCTACGTCTGCTTTTAGTGCCTCTGCTGGAATGTTGTCTGGTCCTGCTGCTTTGCCACTCTTGATTTGTCTGATGGCCATGTTGATTTCTTCAATTGTTGGTGGGCCAACATTGGTTGGGAGGTCCGTGGGTGCTGCTTCGATGTTGGGTGGGTTCAGTGGGACTGGTCGGTTCAAGAGTTCTTTGAAGTATTCTACCCACCTGTTTTGTTGCTCTTCAATGTTGGTTATCACATCGCCTTCCTTGCTTTTCACTGGTCGTTCAGGTTTGCGGCGATTTCCAGAGAGTTTCTTTGTCGTGTCATACAGTTGTCTCATGTTTTCTTCTCTTGCAGCCTTTTCCGCCGTCATTGCTAGATCTTCCATATATTTACGTTTGTCGGTTCTAATGCTCCTCTTCACTTGTTTGTTTACTTCTGTGTATTCAGCCTGTGCCTTGGCTTTTTCTGGTCTTGTTCGGCTGGCATTGATTGCTGCTTTCTTGAATCATATCCAGTGTATCAACAGTGATCCATTCCTTGTGATGGTGCTTCTTGTGATCCAGGACCTCATGACATGTTGGAGTGATTGCCTCTTTGATCCCCTTCCAGTTGCTCGCCACAGTAGTTCCTTCTCCACTGAGTAGATCATGAAAGGCCTGGAACTTTTATGATGAAGTGTGCCGCTTATATATTCAGTGCCTCCTTGTACTAATATTTGTATGTTTAAATAATAATAATAATAATAATACGACCTTTGAGCAATGCTAAAATCATCTTAAAAGAATTCACCTATTTAATAAGGTAAGAAAAGCGTTATAAATTAGTATCAGGAATTAGGATTAACATTTCGAGTTAGAAGTCAGGATTGGAAATTAGGATAAGGGTTTTCGCCACAAACTGATATAAGCTATAGATGAGTGAATCTCGCGCTATAATCCTAGACTTGCCTAGGATACATGAAGACAAATAAAACAAACATTATTGTGACTTCTAAAAAAACATCGTTCATTAAAATATCTTACTAGGATTATTAACACAAGTTCCAATAGGAGGTACAGCTAAAGCAGTAACAACACCTACAACTGGAGTTGAAGAACATACAGGAGGAATATTTGATCGAACAATAGGTCCTGATATAGCATTTGGTGGTACAACTGGCCGAGCTGTAACCAGCCGTAGACCAGATGTACCATGAAAAGTGTGCATAGGAGCAGCTGCAAACGTTGGAATTCCAGATTGCAATCGTAAGGGTTGTGAAGCAATACTAAACCCAACAACTGGAGATGTTGTCATAACTGGATTACTACTTTGACTGGAAGGAGCTGATAGTCTTGCCCGTGGTGTTGAAGCAAGCAGACGACTTTGTTCCTGTTGAAAAACAGTCAACACTTCAGCCTGACGTTGTGGAGTATTAGTAAAAAGTAAACGTTCCATATCAACTTTTTGAGAGCGAGTTAGTCGCAGTTGATATCTTTGTTGATTTAGACGAAATTCTACTATGAAAGTTTCTTCATTGTTATTAGATCCAATAGGTTGTGGTAGTAATTTGTGCTGAGAAAGTAAATCTAAGACTTCACGACGCTAAAAAACAAGATGATTAAAAGCGAAATCTTCAATAAGTTTAATATACATAATCAAAAAATTAAAGCAATAATTAAATTGAAATATCATAAAGTATGAAAAATAAACAAATCATAAGTATAAATGAAAGGATGAGTGAACTGGTTTGTAACCAAAGTCTAATAGTTTCACATAGTGATTTGATTTCTTTTATGCACTATATTTAGAATCTGTTTGGCAGTGAAACGTGACCACATATTTCTTGTCGACGTAAGGAGTGGTTGGGCATACGTAACACTTGTTTCAATCACCTAAGCTGATGAAAACTCACTACCTCATCAATCAAATCGCTATATTTATCCAGTACCATTAACTCGTCTAGGCAAGAAAACAGGAAAACCTTAATTTAAAATACGCTGATAATAATAATGATGGCAGTAATTAATATTATTATCAAACAGGTATCTGAGTTTTATTTAATATCTTACTGTAAGCAATAATTTGAATAAAATCTTACCACACTTGGAGTGATCTGCGCACATGCAGGACTAAGATTTCGACAAGCAGGAGTATTCGTAACCGCATTAGATGTTGGCAAGCTACGAGGAGCCAATGCATTGGGAGGATTGGCAGATATATTAGATACTTTTGTTAATTGGTGTTTAACTTCAACAAGCTGCTTTAGTCTATTTAATTGCATTTCTGTAGGTGCAGTTAAACGTTGTAATGAAGCTATTTGATCATCTAAACGACGTAGTACATCTGTATCGGCAGGTGGAGAACCAGTTAACTTTGGTCTGGTACGTGAATTAGGAGCACTACGTTTTGGTGCAGTTGAGGTATCATTTGGATTAGCCAGTGTAGATGGAACACAAGCATTATTTACAAAAATCGGTGATGAACCTGATATTCCAGTAGAACTAAGCGACACTGTAGCATACGTTCCATTCGGCAATCGGGCAACGGCCATTCCACTTGGCAAAGCTTGAAGACTAGTGTACTGTGATGTATTCGTTCCAATACCTAGTTTTTGTTGATTCTGAGAATGTAAAGAAAATAGGTAAGTAAGACAGAATATATATACTTAAATACATCTGAGAAAGTTCGAAGCTTTCAAAATATGCTGAAAAAAAGCTGGCTATGCTGAATACACAAGTATTAACAACCCTTGGAATCTGTAAACTAAAAAAAGATAAATAAAACAGAAGTTGAAGATAGTTTAAGTCATGAATTTATCAGTTAGAATACTACTTGGAACAGCTGTTTCGTCTTGGTGTGGGACTCACTAGCAATAGGTACCCATGACCACAGAATCATTAGATATCTCAGTGAGCACTCAACTATCAGATCACTTTGGGTTGTAATCAAAATGTCCCCACCTAATCAATTCAAGATATAGTATGATAACTGTCTCACTTCCAACACTATGAATTTTCAGAAAACATTTCAACGAAAAATTTAGTGGTTATAAAATTAACAATAACACATAATACTACTGAAGTGATTTAAGGTTAGGTAAGGGATAAGAATAATCTACGATTTCAATATCAATATAGAGTACAAACAAAGCTTGTACGTGGGATGAAATTATCAAGGCAAGTCCCAGAGTATTAGGAATAATAACAGCATCAGTGGTAATAGAAAAGACGGACTGGTGACACATCTTGTTTTGACCGCTCCTAACTTCCAACCTACTCTGGTGTCAGCTAAGATTGTGAGTCAAGGTAGGAATTAGTTGACCACAAGTCCCAACTAACTCAGTTGATGAAGTTTCATAGATTTACGAACCGATTTGCCATCTTCACTCAACACCCTACTTTCAACGTCCGGATTGGTCACTTGATGATCCCAATGTACGTGAGCTGTGCTTTGAAAGCACATGTGACCGAACTTTAGAGACCTACGAATATACTCCATTTTTAAAGGCAACATTTCATAGTTATTATTATTATTATTTGAACACATATATATTGGTATAGGAGTGCGCCGAATATATATGCGCCACACAAAACAATGAGAATCTAAGAAGAAAAAAAAGTGAGAAACGTAAAAAAGAAATAATAATAATTAAAAAAACATTTCATAAACATGAAGTCGAGCAGAGCATACTGCTGCACAACATACCCATCCTCTGATTGGAAGACGGACATTTAGCTTACACTACATGTGACGCACCAATAGAACTTTCAAAATCTATACCGAGATTTGGCAGAAGAAAATTCATCACTATATTCAAAAGTTGACAGGTATGTATTTGTTTCAGAACCTGATCAGTACATTCACGTCAATGTCTGAAACCAGCATAGTTTCCCCAGATTTGATCTTTACAAGTTCTAGTTTAGCATTTAGTGATTATTAAGGTTAATATACTAGGTATTATATTGGTTAAATATATTTCTGAGAGGTTAACACAAGACTTCTGTTATTCCTTATAAACTGGTATTACCGATAATCGAAATAAGTCAAATGGGATTGTCCATTTCCTAAGCTAGAGTTACCATATCACCAGTCAACTTAACAGCTGAAACTAGACCTCTATCTTTATAAGTTCACATGAGGACTGACTGATTTCCTTCACTTTAAACTAGCTATTTTTTTCGCAACTTTGCTAAGAGTTAATCTTCTATTCTGGTTGTTTCGAAATAGTGGATAACCATAGAGCAATTGAACTGTTCTTTGGAGTATCCCATCCATCGATTCAATTGTCCGGGCTGGTAGTAGATGACAGTCCTGATTTTATGGAGATAGTCTCACTAACAACTGAACTTTTTGATGCCCGAAAAGTTGTTTATTGTTACGGTAATTGAATTGTTGTCCTCACAATGGAGGCATTGAGGCAGCATGCCTAAATATGTTTAAGGTTATTTTAGATTTTGCTTTGGCAAAATAACATTTATTGGGGAGTGATGTTGATAAATGTTCATTAGTTATGTACTGAGGTTTATGTGACAAAACGGTTGTGCGAATAAAGACTACAGATTTGTATTACACATTACCAAATATTATGTAGTTATACAATTGATATATTTTAGAACAATTTTTATTACTTGTAAAGTGTATGCATCTAATATTGGAGTTCCAGGACTGCAGCCTGTGGGGAGAAGTAATCCAGGTCTATTCATCATTATTCCAGAACAAGCAGGATTTAAATTAGTACCAAGTGGTCTAGGAGCCAACTGAACTTGATTCGATGCAGTCGCAGGGGTTATAAAAGTACCGGATTGACCATATAAAGCATTCATCTGTGAGTTAGCGAAGGATACTTGAGGTCCTGGTTTCATTGTTGACATTGGATGAGTTTGAAAATTAGTACCAGTATTCAGTTGAGAGGTAGTGAAAACTGTATTACCAACACTGACACAACTGGTTGGCATTTGAATATAGAATGCCTGTGAGACAATAGATTAAACGATAAGCACGTAAGAAACTCAATGATAACGTTGATTTGTACAGAATATATCAGAATGCTGTTATTTGGAAGTGACTAACTGATTACTTAGAAAAAATATATAGAAGCTGGATAATGTCAAAGCAAGACAAAAACTAACATCTACAGACAATAAATGTAAACCTCTATGCACAATTAAAGCAAATTGTTTATTTCTTTTAATTAACCTACTTGGCCTGATGGTGGTTGGGCGATTTGAGGAGTCAACGAAGGTATTGTAGATGAATTTACACTGGTAGGTGCAGATACTGTAACAGGGAAGTAATTAGGTTGAGGGCCACAAATACGAGTTAAAGATGACTGAAAATTCAAGTTATTAGGAGCAGTAGCTGGTAAGACAAACCGTCCATCAGGAAGACGAATAACACAATTTGCTGGATTTGTATGAGTGGCCATTTGTCCCGCGATTGGTGCCTGGGATAATGGATGAGCAACCACAAAAGCATTTTGATTAGTCTGACCAGGAGCAAAGACAAATGATGGAGCACCTACAACTGGAGTACCAATAGGTGTAGATTGGGCAAGGAAAAAGTTTCCCGGAGCTCTGTTTAAGGATTGACAAGAAAAGGACAAAGATTGAACAAGCGTACGATTTATGTTAATTTAAACCCATATGAATAAATAATTTGTCAGTCAGTCAGCCACAAAGTAGGACCACACACATACATGCATCGGTCCAAGTTGCCATAATTCATTAGCACAGCAAGATGAACACCGAATTCGTAGAAGCAGTTACTGTAATGGTAGATATATATAAAAGAAAGATTATGTATGAAAATATAATACAGGAAGAAAGAAACAGTTCGTAGAAATAAAGGTATAAAGCAATTTTAATCTCACAATCTAAAGGAAAACAAACAGTGTATACACCCACGACAAGACGATCGATTCTGAGCCATATCACCCAGAGTCTCCAGCCATTGGTTACGATTGTCACGTGGACCCCAACCAAGTAATCTGCATCTACCAACATGGCTCAGACTAGGGGTTGGTGTCTTCAAGCACTGATGCCACGTTTTGGTTTGGCCGCCCCTAACTTTCTTCCAACCATCTCCAGCACTAATCAGCATTGCGCGTCGTGGTAATCGGTGGTTGGGAATGCGTAACACATGGCCAAACCATCTCAGTCCATGAAGATTCACAACCTCATCAACTGATTTACCATCACTCCCTAATACCCTGCGTCGAACCTCACTATTACTTACCCGGTGATCCCAGCAGACGTCAGCAATATTTCTAAGGCATCTATGGTCAAATACTAGTAGCTCACAAGTATCTTCTACTCTTAATGGCCACGTTTCGCGGCCGCAAATTAGAACAGAACGGACTGCCGCGCAGTATACTCGTCCCTTAGGCAAAAGCCAAACAAGCTTTTCGAATCCGTGTGGAGACTTCGTCAGACACTAACTCATTTGGGCTGATCAGACTTCCAAGATCAGTGAACTTGTCGACGCGTTCGACTACTTCACTCCCTATTCTGAATTTATTGTCTTAGTGAGATACTCTTAGTATATAATATAGGGTCATCTTATCACTACAGGTTGCATTGCGAAGGTTATTTGGAGTACTAATAATGTATGAAAAAGTTTGCAAGACAGGAAACGTAAGCAAACTCCATATAAAATGTCGGGTTATTTAAAAAGTTAACCAATTATTGCCTATTACTATTATTTATGTTGTATTAATTATTTTCCAGATGATAAAGAGTAAGAAATGTTAGTTTTCGTCTATTTATCAATCATTTGAAAATTTGGAAAATAAATAGAGAGGAAGCCGACTGAAAAGTGTACATCTTACCACCCGGTTTACATACTAACTATATATGCTTCTTTTCAAGCAACGAAAGCTTACTGAAGTAGATACAATGACAAAAATTATGTAAGAGATGATTAGAAGTATAAAAGCTTGTAAGTATTTTGCTTGCTAACTGTTGATAACCCCGATTTTCATACTGCGATAATATCTGAGTGAACAGCTCTCAAGAATACTCCAATAAAATATCACTGTTATGGCAGTTTTGCGCGAAGAAACCTAGTCTAATAGAATATAAAACAAGGAATCACTGCATACGACTAAAGTAAAAGGGAGGAACACAAATGTATTAAATACTAACAGGAATTTGTACATTGACAAATGTATTCAACATATCCAAAGGATGGATGATCTGAAAACAGAAAATCACAAGTTTCGATACACCTGTGTATATGGCAATTAAATTCTCCCAAATCTAAAGATTAATCGTCAATATTGGTTAGTATTTTTAAATTAAATTTTGTGGACCACTAATCCTAACTTAAAAAGGAAATTAAATAAGCGAGAAAAGGTTTCACTTGTCAAAACAATTTAGTGATTACTAACAGGATAAAATTTAACGAAATAAATGTACTGATAATTTAGGATAAAATAAACTCACGCAGAAAATATTACAGGCTGTTGAGACTGTATGATGTTGGATCCAGGTATAGGGTTTGTAGACGTTGGAGATGTGCATACAGGAATAGAAGAGTAAGAAACTGCCGGCATTAGGCTAAATGTAGGTTGAGCCATGGAATTTAAAAAGGCCTGGTTTTGCTGAGAGAAATTATTTTGAACTTGATATTGAGGTAAGCAAGAACTTGGAATTGCTGTTGGCGCAGAAAAAGAACGCATAGCAAATACACCAGCTCCATGCAGTTCTTCACAGGTAGAACAAGGTGAAAACTAATGACTAAATTACTTTATTCAGTCAGTAATGAATGTAGAATAAAACTAAAAGACCGTAGAAATGAATTTAAACAACAGCAGCTATGAGAAGGTCTGGTAATTGACTAAAGCCATGAAGATTAATTCAACAAATGATAGATTGCCTAAAATTTGGAAACAAAGTGGAAACGTATTGAAAGTCACAGGAAAACTGAAATCTAGTTGATCGAAAGAGTTGATACAATTAAAAATTGGCAGTAAAGGTACGCGTGAGTAAACTACTATTCTCCATACATCATAGACATGATATCGTTTAACACTTTTTATGATCTGATTTCGTTCTATAAGGACACTTTTACTTGGATGGCATTGTTTTAATAAATTTGGTTTTATTGTATTTCTGATGTGGGCATAGAAACTATGGCTGATACGATGATGACCAAATTGAATTTCTGGACTGTTTACTCATCATCTGTGTAAATACTGGGTAGTTTTCTTGATTTTGATTTGTTTTAACTGACAACAACTGCTGATCGTACTATTTATTCACAACACATCACAACCCTGAACACCAAACAAAAAACAGGAGATATCAATGTGGTTGGCATGTTTTTTTTAAGTAAAATCCAGAAAACGTACCCTAAATAAGGGTAAAGCGAAATATAAATGTTATACAAGTATTACAAAATCAGAGGATTTGATGGAGAACAAGATGATCTCAGATGTTGTTAGAGGTATGAGGGTAATCGTTACTTATCAGCCGCGTACACCGTTAAACGATGCTTCAGCTTAAAATATATGAAAAGGAAACCAGGTTAGCCGAGGTCTTATAGGTCTGAAAGTGTGACCGCAATGCTCAGAGGACAGTTTTTTGAGACAAGTCACAAGGCTTTTTTGTGAGATTTTAACTCCATACTCTGAAGGCCTTACCTTTGGATATGGAAATCCGTGGAATAACGTGAGGTGTGACATTTCTAGGACAAACCTTTTTGAAACACTTCTTTTTGTTGTGAGGAGGCAGAATCGCTGCAGATGCTGGTGGTTGTCTGAAGGGACTAACTAACTAGTCACACCCCTGTACACGCTAAGTTATAATGTAACCAACCGGAAACATTTGTGATGGAAAGTCAATATTTAGAGAAAACCTTGGATACCATGGAGTTTAGAGTAATAGAAGCTTGTTGCAATATTTTATACTTTTGTGCTGAGGATTCTTTGTACTGAATAAACAGTAGTGAATAATGAATACATAATTGTCAGCTTTAATATCGATTTAATTTGTTTGGGACCATATTGCAACGGATTCGAAATACAACGCGTTTCTAGTGTCGAATTTTCTTGATTTTACATGTCATTGCCGATTCTGGTCATTATTAAGTTAGATGGTTACAGAGCTTGAGTATGGAGAATAATTCTGGTAGCAGTACAGCAATACAGAATGGCATGTTGATATATACCAGTACACAATCTACAGAACAACTTAACCAAAAATGAATTTCGCTAAAGAAGTGTTAACCAGAGTAAAGTGACTAATCAACTTAAACTCCTTGAGGGGTTGCAGGTCTCTATATGTTATGTCCCGATAAGCATAATAAATGGTAACTTTGGAATCCATTTATGGACCAATACTATGCATATATTTTTATCATATATTTGTTATGTAACTAAACTATACATATTCATGTCCCTCTTATTATGAGCCTTATTTTGACCTATGAACTATTATTATACGATTTAGCATTCTTGAATTATGCCCTGTCTATTAATTACTACCTCACATTCACAGCTACATTTGGCTAATTTTTGTATAAATGCTGTTTCCTATTTTATTGGTACGATGTGGTCTGTCTGGTTGGTATATAAACCCAGTATGCTTGAAATAAATGATTCATATTGCAGAGGTTGAGATTGGTGTTCTGGACTTAACTGACTGGGCTAGGCGGAAAGCAGGACCAATAAGGACTCTAGACTGCTCTCACGGGTTTTATGATGCGTCACTGGTCCAATCGATAATTCACTGCTCTCTAATTGGGGGTATCGTTACCTTATACATTAACAGGGCGCACAGGCTGCAAGTTATGACAGCTGGCGATGGGTTAAAAAAAGACCTCTGGAGCCAATCCATCTGAACCAGCTGCCCCTCCTCGTTTCAGATTAACTATAGTCTTTTGAACTTCAGCTAGAGTTGGGGGACCTACTTCAATGTTCCATTCAGGCTGTCTGGGAATGGTGGGTAGTTGTAGAGTAGCTGAAGTCCAGCTGAAATGTTCCGCCCATCGTTCTAAACTTCTGGACTGGGAGCAGATGAGAGTGTCGTCTTTTTCCGAAATAGTATGACTTACACTTGACTTAATAATTCCAGTTTCTTTTATTAGTCTGTAGAGCTGTTTTGTGTTCCCTATAGCCGCCACCTTTTCCATCTCTTTTGCTTTCGTTGCCCACCACTGATCACGGTCGTTTCTTAGACTTTTGCTTAACCTAGATTTGATTTGTTTACGCTCTTCATCGTGTTCAGAACCTGATGGGATGAGTTTGCGAGAATCTATCAGTGCAATAGACCTTGAACAAATCCATTGGTTCTTTGTAACCTTGTGGTTTAAATCACTAATAGATGTCACTGTTGTTTCCACAGCTGCCTGTATGTTTTTCCAAACAACATCTGGATCAGCCTCGTTTTTAGAACTACCTAACTGTGACTTCAGTTGTTCCTGGAACTTACTTTTGGCTTTCTCGCTACTCAATTCTAATGGGTCTTTTTAGTGTGGCTTTTCTGCGTCCAGTGAGGCGCAAGCAGATGCGTGTGTTTCGGAGACACAGCATACATCAATGGTACAAGACTCTAGGGTTTTAGAAAAGGAAGCCTGTTGACCGATTTGACATAGGGTGGGTACGTTGAAGGTTCCAATGTGAGCGAGGTTTCAGTAGACCTAGGGCAGTGTATTGCGCACTAGAATCGTTGGCTACGGTGACGTTTGAGGAAGAAGCCGGAAGAGGAAGTTTAGAGTTGAAAGTCGATGTAGGAGGAATAATAAGAATTGAAGAGGGAAGTTGATTATGAATATAGTGCTCTTGAGTGCTGTTAGAGCTACGCACCCTATGTCAAATCGGTATAGTTCAAGAATGCTAAATCGTATAATAATAGTTCATAGGTCAAAATAAGGCTCATAATAAGAGGGACATGAATATGTATAGTTTAGTTACATAACAAATATACGATAAAAATATATGCATAGTATTGGTCCATAAATGGATTCCAAAGTTACCATTTATTATGCTTATCGGGACATAACATATAGAGACCTACAAGCCCTCAAGCAGTTTAAGTTGATTAGTCACTTTACTCTGGTTAACACTTCTTTAGCGAAATTCTTTTTCGCAAAGTGAAGTTATTAACCCTTAAGGTAATCACGAAATGTTCTATAGTGAAGGCAAGGATTAGTAATGGAAGAATAAAATTCCTATGGTTGAAGAACATATGGAACTCGAAACAATTGTCAAACAATATGAAAGTCAGAATCTTCAACAGGAACGTCAAGATAGTTGTGTTGTACGGAACATCATGAAGAGCGAGTACAAATCAAATCTAGGTTAATCAAATGTCTAATGGACGACTGTGAACAGTGATGGGCAACGAAATGAAGAGGCAGTGGCTGTAGGCAACACATAATAGCTCTACAAACTAATAAAAGAAACTAGAATTATTAAGTCAGGTTTAAGTGAGACTATCTCGAAAAAAGACGACACTCTCATCTGCTCCCAGTTCAGATACTTAGGACGATGGGCGGAACATTTCAGCTGGACTTCAGCTACTCTACAACTACCCACCATTCCCAGACAGCCTGAATGGAACATTGAAGTAGGTCCCCCAACTCTAGCTGAAGTTCAAAAAACTGTAGTTAGTCTGAAACGATGAAGGGCAGCTGGTTCAGATGGATTGGTTCCAGAGGACTTTAAGGATGGTGGTCCAATTTTAGCGATTAGGTTGACTAATATTTTAGCTAAGATCTGGGAGTTGGACGTAATCCTATCTGACTGGTAACAATCAAATAATAAAGGGTCAAAATTATCCTGTGACAACCATAGAGAGATTAGTTTGACTAACATAGCATCTAAGATACTAGCCTCAATAATTATTGGACGCTTAACAAAGATTGGAGGACTGCTAGCTTCAGACCTGGTCGTGGCTAAATCGACCACATATTCATCATTCGTCAGGTTCTAGAAAACAGGCATACTTATCGGCGTCCGATTATGGTGGTCTTTCTTGACTTAAAAGCAGCATTTGATTCCGTAGACCGCGTGATTCTATAGCAGTGTCTGTCATTGAAAGGCGTACCTCAGAAGTACATAAACCTTGTAAAGGCTCTTTACTCGAACACTGCTAGTCAAGTGAGAGCTTATGGCGAACTGTCATCTGGTTTTGCAACCTCAAGTGGTGTCCGTCAAGGCTGTTCACTTTCTCAATTTTCGTTTAACTTCATCATAGAGCAGCAGATGGAAATAACGCTTTCGTCGTCTGAATTTCTGGAAATTGATCTTCCAGAGGGTCCAATTATCGACTTAGAATACACAGATGACATAGTTCTGTTTGGTGAAGACGCTGAAAAAAGACAGTCTTCTGGTGGCACTGAGCAACAATGACAGGATGTTACGGATGCGTTTCCCTCTATCTAAATGCACGTTGTTGCTTCAGGACTGGTCTGCGTCAACACATGAATTAAGGATAATGGGTGAAGTAGTCGAACGCGTCGACAAGTTCACTGATCTTGGAAGTCTGATCAGCCCAAATGAGTTAGTGTCTGACGAAGTCTCCACACGGATTCGAAAAGCTTGTTTGGCTTTTGCCTAAGGGACGAGTATACTGCGCGGCAGTCCGTTCTGTTCTAATTTGCGGCCGCGAAACGTGGCCATTAAGAGTAGAAGATACTTGTGAGCTACTAGTATTTGACCATAGATGCCTTAGAAATATTGCTGACGTCTGCTGGGATCACCGGGTAAGTAATAGTGAGGTTCGACGCAGGGTATTAGGGAGTGATGGTAAATCAGTTGATGAGGTTGTGAATCTTCATGGACTGAGATGGTTTGGCCATTTGTTACGCATTCCCAACCACCGATTACCACGACGCGCAATGCTGATTAGTGCTGGAGATGGTTGGAAGAAAGTTAGGGGCGGCCAAACCAAAACGTGGCATCAGTGCTTGAAGAAGGATATCTTATCAATATACCGAAGAGTGATCTGAGCAAATGTGAGAACTACAAAGAAATCACATTTATAACGGTACCAGTCAGTCAGCTACAACGTAGGACCAGGCACATATGTGCATCGGTCCAGGTTGCCATACCGCATCAGCACAACAAGATAACGGTACCAGGGGAAGTTTTCAAGTGTTGCTGAACCGGATGAATGATTTAGTAGACGTCCAGCTTCGAGATCAACAGGCCGGATTCCGTAAGGACCAATTTTGCACAGACCAAATCGCGACACTATGGATCATCGTTCAACAATCAATTGGATGGAACTCATCACTATATTTCATATTCCTGGATGAGAAACCATTAGACAACGTAGATAAAAATAGCTGTTTTTTATCTATAGGTGGGAGCTCTCCATTTTATAGCTGTCGACTGGATTAGGAAGGAATCAATATCTTAGTAAAGGCCATATGACGGCAGTTTCTGCAGAGAAAGGCCTCAAAAGAAAAATCGTGAAATACAATTATGATCACTGATCAAATCACATTTGATGGTATAACGACTGAAGACTAAAAGCGGAAACCTCTACGTGCCTTGGCAACAGAGACAAACAAGGAGGACCTGATGCAAATATCAAGTCATGAATCGCGAAAACAAGCGAAACATTCCTACAGTTGAAGAATATCTGTCACTCAAAAGAATTTTCACCCGTGACCAAGTCAGAATTTTTAACATTAACGTTTAGTCTTGTTATACATAGCTGAAGGCCATTAAGCTACCGCTACTATAACCAAAATGTAGAGGTGTTTATAAACAAATATCTACGCACGATACTTTGGACGTACAGGTCAGAGTTCTGTTTAAGGTGTGTCCAATATGACTGTGAAAGGCAAACCCAAACTCTACATGAAGCGATTAGTGTCAGTTTTTCCATTCATTTGATGCTGGCATCTTGTACCATAGATAGTCACTTGGGTACTGACACATTTTATCATTCAGATTTATCTATTTCACATCAACTCCGAGGTTATTACAAATTGGCTCAAAAACCGTGAGAAAAATCAGTATGGGAGTTATCAAAATGTCAAGACCTGGGCAATTGGTATGTGTCACCAGTAAGTAGCAAATGGATGAGGCTTTCGCAGAAACACTTGATCAAATAATGAACACAGATCGAATTAACTATTATATCTATTATTTAGTGATGTAAAAGTAAACAAACATAAGTAATAGTCTAAATAACATCGAATCACTAATCATGACGTGTGGGTGTACATTGAATTACGGAAGCAAAAACCAAGGGGGAGCACGCACTCACTTTTTTTTGGAAAAACTGAATAGGATATAGATATGATATAATTCACGAAAGTTGTTTCCGCATCACAAATTACTTTTTATATAACATAGGATGTAAAGCTTTTGATTGGATAGATGTAATTTTCATGTTTTTATGTATCTGAAGACAATAAACGTAATCCTAAATGGGGCATTAAATAGACTGTCTTTAAATAGGTCTTCGACATTATCCTTTCAGTTCTTCGCGAAAATCCGTAGACACCGCCAAATCGAGCGTTTAAACAAACGATCACAAAACAATCCATTATTCCAGTTATTTATTCATTAAAGTCATCTACTAATATCTATCATTCTAATATATGTGTATATTGGTTATTAGTCTTGTAATTCGGAGGTTATAGTTTCTATGGGCGTTTGGTTCGATTGGATGCGTTTCGAAATATCATGTCGTATTAAATTATTGTCAGATACTTATATCACTGTAAAGGTATCCATCTGTAAGTACTCATAGTTTCATTGCTTGGTAGTTGACTTTCGAATTCTTGTTATTAACTACTTCTTAGTAAAGAACTCAAGCTAGTTGTAAATAAAAGTGTACTTTGCGGAAAGGCGGGACTCCATGGTGATGTTCGGTCTGAATTAATGCAAAAATTTAAGTTCATTCTTTTTTGCCTGCTTTGAGGGTAGATATCTGAAAGTTTGCGTCCTTTCTCCAGCATTAATTGCAAACTGTTTAATTTATATTGGAAAAACGAATGTCCGCTTAAAGCAGGCCGTCCTAAGAAAAAAGGCAGATTTTGGTGTCTGCTTAAATTTCTCCAAAGTTGTTTGCTTGCGACCTGTTGATTTTTGTGTGACTTGTTTATTATTATTTGACTCTCCTATCAACACCAAAATCACTTCGTCCTTTTTATTGCTCCCATTTTTTGCACTGACAGTCATTTTTTAGATGGGACCTATTTTCAATGTCTTCATGTAGTTTATGTATTTGTTAATCATAAGGTAATTGTAGTATGAACTATTGAAATAAATCTGAGTGATTTCATGCAATGTATTTTTCGCGAAGTATAATTCAGTGAATCACTACTCTGAACTGTCATGTGTAGGTTTGGACCTTGGTTGATGTACCTCGACCATTTATTTATTTATTTGGACACATGAATATTGGTACAAGAGAGCGCCAATATATATATGCGCCACACAAAACAATGAAAATTCGAGAGGAATACAAAAAAAGAAAAAAAGCTAAAGAACGGAAAAAAAATAGAGAACAATAACGAAGAGATTGGTGTAAGGTAATGTGCTAGTAATCAGGGAACGCAAAGGTACAATCGGAAGAAATCTTTCAGGTAAGGGGGACACAACCACTTTTTATGAAGAAAGTAAAAGAAGGTTACAGCAGGATCGCCACTGGCTTCTATTCTGAGCCATATCTGATAACGTCTCTAGCCACTGTGTAGCACCATCTCTCAGACCCCAACCAGGGAGTCGTGAAGGACCAACACAAGCCAGTCCTTTGCAGCTTCCTTTCATGCCACGACACCATGTCATGCACTGACCACCTCTCCGCTTTTTCCAACCAGTCCCAGAGTCGGCAAATAATGCACGACGTGGAATTCTCTGGGACGACATTCGTAGAACATGTCCAAGCCACCGAAGTCGGTGTTTCAAGATGGTGACACCAATTGAATTATCATCTCTGTGCCCGAACACACGATGCCGAAGCTCTGCATTACTAACATGGTGTTGCCACTGAATGTCAGCAATCCTTCGGAGACAGCGATGATCGAACACAGAGTCGTCTAACGTCCTCAACTCGGAGATGCCAAGTTTCACAAGCATAGAGCAAAACTGCTCTCACCGACGCGTTGTATATCCGACCTTTTACAGCCAGACTAACATCACGAAGGCGCCAAAGGTGGTCCAGATTGGCATAAGCCGCTCCGGCCTTCACTATACGTGCATTAATCTCATCACTCACACCCCCACCTGCACTTATGCAGCTACCCAGATACACAAACTTCTCGACTACGTCTATCTGCTCACCATCCAGGATGAGTACAGGATTGGAATCCTGCCAGTCTTGTAGGAGTACTTTGCACTTCGAAGGTGCAAAGCACATACCATACCTAGGGACACTGATTGCCAACTGATTAAATGCGGATTGCATGGCTAGGGCATTATCGCACAGTAAGACAATATCGTCCGCATACTCAAGGTCGAGAAGTCTTCCTCCAGGCAACAGATCCACACCACCATTACTTACATTCATCAGAGCTGTTTCCAGAATGTCATCGATGGTAAAGTTGAAGAGGAATAGTGAGATTGGGCAACCCTGCCTAACCCCACTACTCGAATGGAACAATGGAGAGAGGTGGTTGTATGCCCTCACTCTGCCTGAGGTGTTTTTCTATAGGGCTATTAGGATGTTAATATACTTCTCAGGCACACCCTTCTTCAATAGACAATCCCAGAGAACAGTCCTATCCAACGAATCGAAGGCAGCCCTGATGTCAAGAAACACTACGATTGTTGGCCTTTGATAAGTATGGCGATGTTCTAACATTTGGCGGAGGGTGAAGATATGATCAATACATCCTCGACCAGAACGAAACCCAGCCTGCTCCTCGCGAGTCAATCTTTCTCGGGTTTTGAACAACCTACGAAGTATGACGGAAGCCAATAGCTTGGACCAAGTAGTATTACGGGTCGTTACAACAAATTGCATGGCTTTAAGTCAATCATATGAACCTGTACTTTAGTAAATGAGTTGCATCATCGCTGTCTAGAGGTTGTTCACATCCGTCAAATAAAAGAGGAAGTGTATTTGACACTAATTGCCCATGTTCAAACGTGTTTAAACCTTTCTACGTCATAGGAGTGCTTATGATCCACTTTTTCGTTAAAAGCGTATTGTTGATAGCTCCCAATGTAAATCGCACCAGTTAATCTCACATCGCTACTCTAATGCACGACTTCCACTCTACAACACAATAGACTCACCAACTTGAAGCGATTTTAAATATTTAGTACAATATCCTCCACAAAGTTATTGGGCGAATGATAAGCATTACCACTGGAAATGTTGACTAAGTTCTATCTGTTCATTTGCACCAAATAGATTTTCAACAATTTAATGATATAAGGTAGAAGTAGAAGGTGACTAAACGCCCTTCGATTCAGTGAATATTTCATCAAAGATAAGCGGTTATCTTGGGATGCCTCATCTCTCTAGCAAAAGTAAACCTGCAGATGTAGCAAAGCTGTGTTACTCTGTTATCTGTAGATTGTGCTATTCATAGTGACTAGAATGACATCTATGGCAATCAAGCTAACAGTTTAAGCTGTTTGTCTTCGCTCAAGGTATACAGATGATTTAAACCGTCTTATTAATCTGTTTGGGATAGAGTCTAAGACAGGTGTGTGTAATTCATCAAAACCTTTTAATTCACCAGGCTTCATGTTATTTATTTTTCGAATGACTGGATTAAGTACCTTTTCATTTATCTGCCTATTCAAAACATAAGTTCTGGCACAATAATATGCTAAAACATTGCCTACACAAATGAAGTCGAGATATAAGGGAACGAAAAAATGTGTCATACAATACATAAACAAGATCGATGTCTCTTAAAAGTTACTTTTCAGTTAAAAATACAGGTAAGAAAGGTTTCAGTTAAGGAAGCTTATTTGACTTCTAGGGATAGTATAGGAGAACTACATTAGGGTCAATACGTCGTGATAGCTTCTTATATCTGGTTGTAATATGGATTAGATCATCTGGCTTTCGAAACCTCAGTAGACCTCGTCTGAGTCTATCAATCACAATTATTAAAGCACACCATTTATTAAGCATTTGTTCTTCAAGATGAATTGATGCGTTAAAAGCCTGTTATTACCAACTAGGGTGTACGAATGCTTACTATTTATTCCATGTTTTTGAGCAATATATTAAGTTAAAGGTCACGAGCTCTCAGACTTTATTACTAAAGGCTATTTGTAAATAATTAGTAAATTAAATCTTTCACCTAGTTATCATAAGTAACTTAGGTTTATAACCACGAGATTGGTCGGGATAAAATATTTCCTAGCAGTTGAATAGTGCTATATTTTCGGTGCTAGTTCCTTAATACTTCCATTGGCTTATAATTATTTATGAGTGTTATGTTTTCTAGTATAGAATTCTTTGTTGAGGATCTCGCTGTCGTTGTGGTCTAATTATTAAAAAAACTCCAATTTTCCTATTAGGCAATTAATTTATCATGCATATAAGTTTCAAAACTTGATATGTAGTGTATATTTCATGCATATATGTAGGTAGGTCCGCGCGATCATCGTAACCAATGTTTAAAGACTTAGGATGATGGCTCGGAATCATTTAGAGTAACGTAAGCACATCCACTCTTTTTTCCCCTTTAGATCCTAAGTTCCTTAATCACCACAAAGAATTCATTTATTCCATGAATCCGTATTTTGCTCTATCATCATATCTCATGTACATAATCTTTTCTACCATCACTAATAGCTACTGCATATATTGCTGTGACACTTCTGTGTTTGTGTGGGCACTTGAAATGATGCACATATGTACCAAGTTCTGTGTTGCGTACGACTGACTCAGTTGACGTTGAGTAGTAAACTGATAACCTCTTAACAAAATATCACAGTAACAAATGGTTTAATTCTAATAAATTCTATATTACCAACAAAACCACGTTTAAATCTTGGTCTTTTGGTGTAGCAAAACTTACCAGGAATAAACAAATTATTTTTTCTTAGCAAAATAATAAGAAAATGTCAGAAATATTTGTTGACAAGTGAGTATCCTACGCGGCCGTCGCATATGTGTTCAGATACATTCGAAAAATCGTATGTCGCTTGTCGAATGTTTGTATGATTTCATATGCTTATAAATAAGAAAACAGGCCACATATAATGAAGGGTTGTGTATATTCTTCAAGAATCACTTGTGATGCTTAAAGCTAGTTCTGATCCCAGCTTGATATTAGCTGGAAAACCATTAAAAATAAGAGGCCACAAATGTCACTCAAATCGATAAAGATTGCGCATTATTTCAAATCGATTGTTTGAAATTTGACCGTTAGATCCAAACCTGCTGACTAAACAGTAGTTAACTAGCAATCGAGTTAAACTTCGTATCTACTAGTAATGATACATTGGTGAATGCTCTCTAGCAAAAATGAAACAGCTATTCCGTACTTCCTAGTCTCTATTGCTTTGCTGATCAGTATCAGCAATTCTCATTATAAGTGTACTAGACAATTGTTCAAAAATTGGTTACGTCAGTTATCTAGTTTAACGAATTTAGATTTCAAGGTGATCTATCTATACGTCTGGGCCACCTTTGAGTGATTATGAATACTAGCTATATGCACTAAAATACTATAATAGAATGCTTACAATTTATTGGGTTGTTATACATCGAAAAGTTTAAAAGCGAATGTCACATTTGTTGGTATATTTTCCTCTTCATCTGTTCTTTGATCTAAACGAGGGATGAATGTTATAATTCATGCATGGCTGTTGTAAAATAGTTGTAGCAGTTGAACTGATAAAAACGTTTTGTGACCGAGAATAAATGGGAACTACTAATTGTTAATAGCATTTATAAAATCTATCATTAAATACAGTTTGAATGCATGTTAAATAGAAATTTGTTGTAGTATTGCATAATCAAGTTCCCAGTTCAGTGTTTGTTTGTTGCTGTTGTTTGCTTACATTAGAACGAAATTGAGTCTTTAACCTAAAGACATTTCATTTATTTCTTCGCGTTATTCAAGTATCTTTAGTGGAACTGTTGCTATTGGTATCTACCGATATTACTTATGTGCTTTACAATGTACATTTGGTTAGGCATCAGTGCTAATAGCTTACAATTAAAATTTAAACTGCAATATATCATTCTATTCAAAAAATCGTCGTCTGAATTCACTTTCGGTCTCATATGTGTATCATATTCCTATTAAACTTTGAATGGTTTATCTTTTTATGTAGGCTGAAGTGATGAGATCCAAAATTTATGATACCTAAATGTTATATAATTAGTCGTTTATTCGACTTTACTTCTTATTGTCCTGGTAATATGTCTGTATTTTTATGGTATAAGAACTAGGTCCCCTGTCATTTTTAATAAACGTCTCATAAAAACACGCTCAAAAGTTCGTATTCATTATTTATATGATTAATCTTTTCACCAGATACTTGGGTATAAACTACCCTCGAAGTGTAAAAACATGATACTATTTGGTTGCCTAAACTGAAGTAGATGGATTGAGGATCAGATTCACGATATATTGGCTGGAGGTTGAATGTCTTAACCACTAAGCTATCAATTCACTTGTATATGTGAGATGTGATTTTTATACTTATACTGGGAATATCTTGTGTGATTTATAGTCTTATCTTCTAAATTTCTTAAATTATATAAACTGATAAAACTTGATAGAAGTTATCAGTATTAGTCGTTAAATCATTCTTTCCTCTTCAATAATTTTCTTAGCTATTTATCACTGAATTACAGTTAATCAGATAAAAATTGAAAATAAAATTAATTATTCCTATGCGAATAATAATTATAATAATAATCATAATCACCATCAATTGTTGTATTTCTTGTTTCAGTGTCTTCTTCTCGCACACACACACACACATGCTCACATCACATTCTCTTTTCAATTGTTGTTTATCAAAAGTGATCATAGACTTTTCTTTTCAATCATTAATATTCACTTTCCTATTTCTTCATCATTTTTTTTGTCGCTAATCTATATTTCTATTGGTTAATTGTTAATTATAATATCGAGTCATTCACATCTGATATTGTTCACTTTAAACCTTTGTAATATTTTTGCCGTTTGTTATTGGAGAATGGAGTAAAACGTTCGCCTCCTTTTTACATTATGACATATATATATACCCCAACACATCCATCTACTCATTAAAAATTACTAATGGATCCATTCTCTGATAGACATGATTTCTCATTAGTGGATAGTCGTGAACGTCAACGTCAGCGTAGTGTTAATCAAGCATTTGCAGAGCTCAGATATATCCTACCTACACATCCACCGGATAAAAAATTAAGCAAACATGAAATTCTACGCCTCAGTATAAAATATATTCATATTTTAGAAACTATTCTCAAGTATCAAGAAGAGGTAGAAGGACGTTTACCTATTTCAAGTATATCACATATATGTACAACAACAACAACAACATCATCGTCATCAAAATCCAAATAAACAATCATTTTCAAAATATATACTACTTATGAATATTAAATTAATATAGGATTCTTATATTCATGTGAATATATTCTTATTTCCTTTATTTCAATTACTATCAATATTCTGCTGAGAAAACAAATTGTCCTTTCAAAATGATATAGGGAATTATGTGTATAAAATTGTCCTTTCATTCCTATAGAACTTAGTTTTGCCATTGTTTCTTTTATATATGTAGTTGTTTTTTTATTAACATTTAAATTAATTTTATATTCCAGACTTGTTATTGTTACTGTTGGAATGTCCTCTCAAACAGATAGTGTAACTCCTTATGATCTGTGAGTTTTAATTTTGTTTATATATATGTGCAAGTAGTTTCTATTTAGACTTTTTTTGCTTTGTTATGATTTGTTTCAATAAATCATTATTTGTTATGTTATCGAAGGTCACTAGAAATCATAAATAGTTAGGTTAATGATTGAGTTGTCCTGTTGATATTATTATTTAATAAGTTCGAGCCTTCTGCTACCGTACAAAGTCTTGTGTACCAAACTGTTACAAGTCGTAGATTTTGTGATTAGGAGTCATGACATCAATGGGTTATCAAATCTAGGCAGTTGGCTAATCATATTGAATACATAACTTAACTATTGAAAGTTCAGTATCAGAATGAATTTCTCATAGCTGCATTAGCTATCTATCTATCTATCTATCTATCTATCTATCTATCTATCTATATATATATATATATATATATATATATATATATATATATATATATATATATATATATATATATATATATATATATATATATATATATATATATATATATATATATATATATATATAGTTAAATAATTAAAAGCATATCTGAAGTAAAATTGTATTACATTTTAAGATGGATGTGACAAATTACAACTTTCACAGTTTACATCACGGGCTGGTCTTAGTTGAAGTACTGTTGAAAGGGAGGAAATACTGGATAGCTGTTTGGCTGTAGTATAGAACTCCTAAAGAGTATTCATCCACGATGTTACTGTGAATCTAACCCAGGGCCTTCCGTCTGGTGGCGAAGGCTTAACCTTTATTCATCTGGGTGGACGTTATTGAAACAGTCCAACATCTCTTGGTTGTCGATAATTTCGTCACATACGATCAGTATGTCATTTGTGTATCGACAGTAATAATCTAGCTTACTTAGGATGCCTTTTAATGGTACATTTTCTAGTTTGGACACAGAAATATTAGTAATAATTTGAAAGATGGTATCATAAATTTGGAAAAATAATCTATTCTGTTTATACTTTATTATTTGTGAATATATGGTACAGCGCAACTGTTAAGGTGTTAAGGATTCACACAATTATGGACTAACTCGTAACTAGATAACGAAATAAACGTTTAAATATATTACAGTATGGTGAATGACGCTCTCAGCAATGTAATTGGTTAAGTGAACTGATGCACTTCCAATGGTTCGCTTTGTTTTCTTCTTACAGAGAATGATAGAAAATTTTCCAGGTCATTTCTCAGGTACATTTTTATGCACTCGGTTTTAAGGCACGTGTTGAATATATGAATTAGTGATAATACCGAGCTATTAAATTTAAATTAGATAAATCAACTTAATGATTAAGAGTCAAGTTATTTTTATTCACTTAACCATCTATCCGATAACCGTTCATATTAACCTAAGATGTTCTACATGTTCACATATGTTGGACATTTGTTGAAAGTTATGTGTTGATTCACGGAAAAACCAATATCATGAAAATAACCCAATAGCCTTGAGCACTAATACTCTGCATTCAAAGTCAATAACAACGTAGAACTTCGTACGGACGTACATCAATTTGAGTTGCCATACCACATTAGCACAGAGATGCAGTTGTCGATTCAAATCCCTTAGTGGTAGAGGTAGCAAAAGTACAAGCAGTAATCGGAAAGACTCGAGTTTGAAGATGTTATTCAAGAAGCATAATCCAGTGAAATGAATTTGGTAATAGAAAAAAAGGACATGAAGTATTCAGAAGATTGGAATTTGAGAGAACACCATTTTCAGCTTACCTTTTGAACTTACCTATTTGGTTTTATATTTTCTTGTTGTTATGACTACTACTAATCATAATATAAATTACTATCCATTATTTAAATTTTAATTGTTACATTAATTTCAAATTTTATTTTTTTCAGCGATAAAGTTTCCTCGAATCCAACTAAGAACAACAATAAAATACTAACTAATAATAGTCCTATACGAAATACAATAAAACAAATGAAGTTTAACATTTCAAATTATTTATTCATTCACCGAAATAAATCAAATCATATTAGATTAAATGATAATATGCATATAAATGATACTACTAATAAATCATCATCTAAATTATCTAATCAAAATGATTCGGAATTTCTTAATACCGGATTTACTTTAATTGGTTATACATTTCTACTTCAAATTATTTTACATATCATGACATTTTTATTAAATAGTCTTTCTTATCGTTATTTAGATACAGCTAGTTTAGGCTTAGTCAATGTTCGACTTGGTTTATTTTATTCAACATTGATATTTACTTCAAGAGAAGCATTTCGTCGTGCATGTCTTAGTCGTGGTGGTCAAGTAGTCAATAGTAACGATATTAATAATAATAATAATAATAATAATAATAATAATAATAATAGAAAATCAACTGAATCATTATCAAATGCAAATGTTACTACAATAATTGATTCTACAAATGAAGATTTTGTGGATGTTTCTCAGTTTATTAAATGTTGTAAGCATAAAATTAATCAAGATGGTCATACTTCAATTCAGTATAGTTTACAATATAAAGAACAATTGTATGGAATTTTAAATCTTGCTTGGCTAGTGTAAGTTTAATTATATTTTAATAAATAATTTCAAAATTTTAGACTTCCTATTGGTTTCATCATTGTAATACTATTGAGTTTTGTGTGGATTTACATCTTACCATCTCCAAGTAATCTAATTAATGAATCAAATTCTGAATTAAATTTAACATCGTCAATTATTGAACAACGTTACATCCTCTGTATCATGATATACGCTTTATCTGGTCTTTTTGAATTAGCTACTGAACCATTATGGCTTATTTGTCAATTATCTCATGAAGTTCGTGCAAGAATTTTCATTGAAGCTTTTGCTAATACTGCTCGTTCAATTGGAATACTATTTGCAATATTTACTGTACCATCCCAGTATGCCATTTATTCACTTAGTATACCTCAAGTAAGTTTTATGTATTAACAGTTATCATATTATTTGTCTATGTTGTAGTAAATGAGAACTCAGGTGGGGTTAATCAATTACTTCTACACACTACTTACATCTGTCAGCATAAGTAGCATGCACCGCAGTATAGGTACAATTTTTCGTTTTTACATTTAGACATTCATGCGATCATCAGAACATCATTTATTTTAGTTAAGAGTATCATTATGATTTCAGTTACATGGTCGCTGAAGTTGATATGCGAACTAAACTATTACGATTGTTGGTTATAAAATTTACTAAACAATCAATCGCATTGTAGGACAAACAATAAAGACTTTCAAGCATTTAAATGTTCATGTATGGTTTGGTATGTTAGCTAACCTCTACATTCGGCAGGGACATTTTGTGAATTTCTGGCCAGTAATTCAATTATCATGTTGGATCATTTTCATTGTTCACCATGAATGTTTCTAAGCATAAAAAAGGAAATTGGCTAATTATATTATTTCATAACATGGACAGTATTTTGACTGATGTACTTTAAACATTGTAAAATAACGTGTTTATAACCTCAGTTCATTCGTTTATGGAACATACTATTTATGATCATAATATTTACCTCTATCTGGGTATATATTTGTGTACTGTATTCTTATTTCGAAGATAATTGTAGCTAGTATTAGTATTAAAGTTTGTAAATATCGTTGGGCTTTTTAGCTTGCATCATGGGTTGCTCTTAGACAAGCATTACAAACCAGAAAACACTTGTTTGCTGTTTCGTCGTAGTATATGGGGGCACCTCGATAGTACATATCCACGACTACACCAGGAATCGAATTCGGGACCTTCAGGTCTCGTGATGAGCATTGTGGATGTGCAATACCCAGAAGTCCCGTTTAATGTAGTAAAAATGTGTACTTATATGTGAACTGTAGACAAGGATGTTCTAGTGTCTTTTCAATCCATCATTTTGTGTTTTGATTTTTTTTAGCTTCTTCATGGTTCAACATTGTTCATAAGTTACTTATTGTATTTTCAATATGGTATACCACGTTCAACATCAAATAACGAATTGAAACTTAAAGGAATCATAGGAATCGCTTCGTTAAAAGATATTTTACCAAGTTATTTTCGGGTTAGTTTATATTTGTGTGTTTATATTATTTAGGCAAATGAAGAAAATTCAGTGAAAAAACTTTCTTGTCGACAAAATCATTTACTTAAGCTACACACTCGTATTGAAAGTTGCTTGACGTATATTCAACCCATCAGTTCTATTTAATGATTTTCATTTGCCCGCTTATCATAGCAAACGTTAAATGCATTGTTTTACTAAAACTGCCTATAATAATTTTATCTGGTCCGGGCGAACGTGACATCCTATATCAATAGTTGGAGATGCTAGACAAAATCGGTTAAAATTACCCACAGTGTCACAAATCTATTCACGTTTTATACTCTTCTAGATCGCTACTTCCAATATTCTCTTTTTGAGCTAAACTCTGTGTTCAATCTTTCTCATCTATCTTAGCTGCTACATTTTCTATTCGTTCGCTATTTGCTTCTTGAAGTTTATCTCTTAGTGCTAATTTCTTATGTCAACTTGGGTCAACACACACCTGTGCCGGGCTCTACGTTGATTATGAGTGACTATAATAAATTCGAGTCTAAAGACTAATTTTCCTAGTTATAGAAAATTAGGCTGTCATAGTAGTACTTAACAGTACCTGAATCTATTTCTAGACTAATTTTGGAATAAGAAGAAACTCACTATCGTTTCTCTTCGATTCAAAACTATCTATGTTAATATTAATAACTTACAAAATGTAACTAATTACATTTCTTTTTTTTACACCATGAAAGTATTCTATCGATCGACAGGGCCTACAACTTGTAAAGAACTTTTTTGGTCAGTGTATACTGAAACAACTTTTAACAGAAGGTATGCAAATATTTTGTATGTTTAATATGAAGTAAGAAGTGTTAACGCTGATATGATTTAAAATTTCTCAGACAGTTTCTTTCGAGGTGGCAACATATTTGTTAGTTGGCTGTGGTATTACTCGGTTTTCCGAACCAAAGGAGGCATTTTACTTGAAAGGAATACTCCCTGATCCTCTTATCTGAAGGTTTGATTCACAAGACACTAGAGTGACGTCAGAGGATGCAGTCCCGTGGTAGCAATGATCAAAATATGTATGTACTCCATTGATTTGTAGTCAGGGCTTTTCGATTCCCCTACTTAGACTATCCGTACCCACTAACCTGGTTTAAGCTCCTGACATCCACTCTTCATCCCCTCACTTTCATCAAAAGCACCGATTGCTACGCGAAGACAATGAGTAGAGCAGAACTTCTGTGATAGGAACTATAAATCTTCATTCACATGGGGGTATTTCGAGGTGAAAAAAGAACTCTTTCCACCCTCATCTGTACCAGATTACTTTGAGGTTATTAGCATTCATAAAGCTAACACAAATCACCTATGCATGTAGCAGTCTATACACTACTTAGTTATTATAAATACAAAATAAGAGTTGGGTATATTTGTCTGTTTGTTGGATCAAGTCTCAACTTTGTCAGTATAGGATTTTAAAGATTGCTGAATCTCGTTGAATTCATGAAGTAATCTGAGCTCGAACATCATATAAATCGGGGAACACTAGACGACCGTTTCTTCCTAATATGGGACTTTTCGTCATTGCGCATCCAAGACTCCATGCAAGTGAATCGAGCTCGGGACCTCTGATTTCTTCAAACGCTTAAGCTCTAAATCACTGAGCCGGTATCCAACGATATTAATTTTTAACTTCGATCAATCCAAATCTCAACTTGTTGGTAGAGTGGTATTTTAATTAATAAAATACTCGAGTTTCACTCTCCGGCCAATAAGTCACACGTATTTGAACCCACTTGGTCCACTTTTGTTTTTACAGATGATTAGCACAATTAAGCATCACAATAAACGTATCGTAAGTCATGAAGAAGGACTTGATATACTTAGTGATCAGTCAATTGTAAATAGTAAGTGAATGTTTAACGTATGGACAGTTAATTTGGGTCATCAAGTTTCAGCATTGAAATTGAATTCTCGTCTTGTTGATTTGAAAATTCATTACCTCTGGATTAGTTTAATAATTGCTGAACTGTTTTACTTTCGTTCTAATTTTATATTTATAGCAATATTTTCATCAAATAAGCTAATTAATTATTTTGATTAGGCAAAATAAAAATCCAACTTTCCTTGGTGCTAAACTCACGTTGATTTCAACTTCTTTTGTTTGTTTATTCAGGTGAAAGATATCTAATCAGTGCGTTCCATTTGATAAGTTTCACTGATCAGGGTAAGTAGTAATTTTAATTTGTATAGGATACATATATGTGTCCTTTATTTTGGAATTATTTTATTGATGGTTCGCACAAATTTTATTGAACCATTAGTGTCCAATAATTAGACAATTTAGCTTTTGGTCAGTAGGACTCAATACTCCTATTCTGTTTAATCTAGTGAGTAAGAATTAAAATTAATAATGTTTTGGGACGTAGTATAAGACACTTCTTCGGTGCAGATCAATAACAGACTTAAATGAACACAAGTTTAAACAGTAATACGATCAGCATCATAATGGGTCATTTTTGCTCGAGGCGATTCCATATGAGATATCAACGTGGGCGTCATATCCAACTGTATTTATGAATTTTATATCCTTGTGTGGCCATACATACATAGGGAAGAGTAATCACGATTTGTGAATTAGGGTGTCTGAATATGTAACTAAATGGCTGCCGAAACGAATAAAATCAAATGATGCAATAATAGTAGATGATAAACATCTTTCTTCCTTCTAAGCTGAGATGGTGGCTAGCAGTGGAATTTTTGACACTTCATCGTATTTGAGATTCATCAGCTGGATGTACCTGCATCCCAGTGTTGATGTTCAACTCGGGACTCGAGCCCAGTGTCGTTCACCATCCAACTCTGCTTATGATGCTTGTGACTTACGGCAGTATCGAGGAAATCCTCACATGATGTCGAAATGCTAAAAGAGACTGATCAGTTACAGTCCTAAACATCATTCGGAAGATTAAAGTAGTCGATACAATTGAATTGTTGGTGAATGTCAGTAGAAATTTTTCATTGCAGTCTACAGAGTACGATAGAGAGATAGTGTAATTTACAAATGTTAAAATAATGTAACTATCTTACCATGTTAGTTTGAACTACACTTCATTGATTATAGATAGATAATAAGGAAAACTATGTGAGTTATACCGCATTGAATATCAAACCAATATTATCGGTATAGGTGGGCACATCAAAGTTATGTGAATGTTCACAATAGAGGGAGATGTTTATTTATCGTATACTCTCATTAGATTATTGGAGTTCATTTGTTTCGGTAACCATTGAGATGTGTATTGAATCACCTTTATATACGGATCACGATTTCTCCTCTCTGTGTCTATGTGTTCACGCGTAGATGTAAATTGATAAATTCAAACAGTTATGATATGCCGATTGCTTACATGTTGTTTAGATTCTCAGTGGAGCAAATGCCCTAAATTTTCAGTAATGATGATTTGGGCTGCGTTACTTTCCCTAAACCATGTCAATTTTCTTCTCTCTAGGTATATATGATCTCGTCAATAATTTGGGCTCTTTAGCGGCTCGTCTACTTTTCTTACCATTGGAAGAAAGTTGTCATTTTATGTTTAGTCAATGTATTCAAAGAGAAGTCTCTCCAAATAAACAAGACAAAGTAAGTTTTCATCCATACTGTGCATATTTTGTGACGTTCAATTGAATTCTTACTATGTAGAATAATATGAATTGGATACGAATTGGTAAATAGGGATGAATGCTAAATAAATTTCTCAGTGTTTCCAAGTGTTACAACAATAATGATGACAATAGTAATAATAATAATAATAATAATAATAATAATAATAATTATTATTATTATTATTATTATTATTATTATTATTATTATGTGTGAATAAGATGAGTTTAAGCTATAAAAATGAACATTTATCAGATCACTTCACCATGTCATAAAAATGGTTAACTAAGTTAAGTCAGATGTTGACCAAGGTAAAAGGTGTGGGCTTTAATAGCCTTATATCTGACTTCACTTAAGTCATATGAATGATTGTTATTGAAATATACATACCGCCTACCCGCGTATACAATTATTGACTTAAGTTGCGCGTAGTGTATAACGGAATTAAATAAGTCAAATACGAGAATGGATTTCCAATACGTGTATTTCATACAATCATTGATTGGAAAACGATGCAAAACAAAGTGACACGTAGTGAAGAAGGCGAGTCAGCCAACTCGGTTTAACCAAGCGTGAATCGATATTTATAGTCAGACCAAAAATAAGTTACAGGCATGTAATGATTAGGATAAGAAATGCACACACATACGCTAATATAAAAACAGTCAAGGTTGATAGAAGAATAATTAACAAGTGGATTTATTAAACGGAATATTCTTCATTCGTGTATCTTTTTTTAAATATGATGGAATTTTTTCAGCGATTGAATTCTTGCCAATAACAGGGTTTACTTTGTGTCAATGTCTTGATGTTGACCGGATAGAGTCCTAGCCATTGCATATTCAGTTCAGGCTGAACTTCGAATATGACGATTGGTACATTTTCCACTAATCATCGCTAGCAGGCAAATGGATAACATACTGGAGGACACTCGAATACGTTTACTTCTGCATCTTTGTTGTTTGGTTTTGTTGAAATAGAAATTGTTTTTTTTCTAGTTAACGGATACTAGATGGTAGAAAAATGCAAAATCTTGGAGATGATTTTTGTCGTGACCTATATGAATTTAGAAAATTTGTAGACGATCGGGTTTTTAATCAGTTGGTTGGGGGTAGGTCTCGGAACTTTTATTTATGGATGACCTATGAGCGATACTAAATTAACCTTGAAAACGTCAACGAATTATAGGATTCCAAATAGGGGGTATGAATTAGCCTCAGAAATTAGGATTAGGAGCTTAGTGTTAGTGTTTTGATCATATCGGCTATCATGCCAAAATGCTAGATTAACTAGTATTTCTTGCCGACTATATCCTAACACTGAACATTCTAACTTAGTGCACTCAGTGTCGAGTCATTTACACCAATGACTATATTGGAACTTTTCCGATAGGATTTAACCCGCCCTGAAGGAGGACTAAAGAAACATCACTCTAACCACCACTCAGAGATCAGTCAATTGTATTTATGTGTCTTTTCAAGTTACCTAGTTTGGTAACCGAAAAGAGTTTCCATAGTCTGAGTAGTATTATCATTTCTGTGATACATATTATTGTTATTCGATTTCGCGTTATACTATTTTTAAGATTAAGAATAAAACATAACGTGTGTGATATCTATGATCATCTCATTTACTAATGTACCACATCTCTGTATGTACAAATTTTGGGTGATGTATTTTAAACCAAGTTTCTAAACTGATGAGTAGGGCTTATTAACCCAGTTTGCCTGCACCGAAGTTGATAGAGAGCTGTAACTCGAATCTACTTGTTGGTTAGACTTATACATAACTATAAACTTTAATTGATCCGTCTTGTTCTCTCTAATTTGCAGAAATTACTTATGGATGCATTTCGTATGCTTAAAACAGCTTTACGTATTTCAAGTCTTATAGCTTGGATTGGTATGACTTTTGCTCAAGCTAATTCTCGTTTATTATTAATGATTTACGCTGGGCATAGATTAGCTGATAATTATGTAGCGGTCAATTTATTACAATTATATTCTGCTTATGTTTTGTTACTTGCATGGAATGGTTCGACTGAAGCACTGTTGAATTCCGCAATGTCAACAGTAAGTTTCGCATATTTTATTATATATGTATATCGTTCTTATTTGAAAAAAGAAACGTAATAATACAGTTCACTTCGTTCTGTTGACAAAATGTTTAGCTCCAATCACAGAAACTCCATAGAACGTCTTATCTAATCAGCGTTGAATACTCATCACAGAGGCATCTAGAAAACACATAATTTCGTACCACGATTTGGATTGAATATCCCCATATACCACTACTATATTTAGTATGGTTCCGGAGACTCAAGGTCGTGTGCAATTCTATAAATACCCTCGCTTTTTTGTGCATAAGCTAAGTTTGAAGTAAAGCTTTTATTTGTAGTTCGCAGCTTATTTCTAGTGTTCCAGTTGACATATACAAGTAGATGAGGTTATATAAACCGGCTAAGAAGAGAGTTTAGACGTATCAGTAGGAAGGCTTATCACTTTATTTAATAACTACCACTTTTTTATTTCACAGGATGAAGTTTTACGTCACAATCAACGTTTAATAATATTTTCTATAATATTTCTCAGCGCAAATTGGTTTCTTGTCCCAATATTCAATGTATACGGGTTTGTACTGGCCAATTGTATTAATATGATTACTCGTATTTTATATAGGTAAGAAAATGAATGTTGTGTGTTTTTAGTGTTTGTTATTAAATTATTTTTAGTCCCTATTCTCATATGACCAGGCGTATACAGCCACTCTCAGGGAAGTCCTACTCACTGCCTTCTCGTGGCGGGGGTGTTGTTTACGAAATTCAGAGTACGGAAAGCGAATGTCCGACGCTATAACCAGGTTAGTTGTGGATATGGAGAATCTACTTAAGGGAGTGGGAAAACCCTGATTCCAAACCAATGGTTCACATGAGCTCCAGGATCCTAAGGAATTAAATGGGGTACGAACCTGTTGTTGGTCACCGGCTACCATGGGACTGCATCTCCTTACGTCGCTCCACTGCCTTATGGATTGGATCTTTAGGTCAAAGTCTCGGGGTTTAGAGTCTCCTAAGAAAACCACCTACTTCGGTTTGGGCACGCGGGCAGTATCACAGTCCTTATACATCAAGTGAGATCTATGTAGCGCTTATGTATTTGGTGCCTCCTTGTACCAATATCTATGTGTTAAAATAAAATAATAAACTTATATATACCTCTATGTTTCGCTATTAATATTGATTCTGTTTCTTTTTTGATGATTATTCTTTTGACAGTGTTTATTATATTAACAAATTTTTGGCAAAAATTGATGAACCAACGAATATTGAAAAACAAAACAACTTGGATGATGATAATGATAGCAGCTGCAGTAGTAGTGATAAATCATCGACTTTCGTTGTGTTATCAAATTGTGAAATGGAAAAATTCTCAAATATTTCATTATTATCATTAATGTTTCCATCATATAGTGAAATGTGCATTCTGTCCATTTCAATTGTATGTACTTTAATTTCACAAGTAAGATTATAGTTGTTTGTGTTTCTTTTTTTTCTTCTTCTTTCTTTTACCTCTATTGGTATTATTGTACATTTGTTTATTAATTTTTAGTGAATTTATAAAATAATTCAATTTAACAACTGATATTAACTACTTATGCTCGTTCATGTTTAAAGAAATTCATAGTAATTTTCAGGTTGTATTCGTCACAGATTGATCTCAATCGAGGTATCATTGAGAAATAAGGACTAGACAATTGTTTGTTCCCAGTATGGGATTCCTATGTACTGCGTACATGTCGCCCCCATCAGGGATCGAACTCAGAATTGTTGTGTATCATGAAGAAAGCCTAGTCATTACAACCATTGAATTGGTGTTCAATTGTACATTTCTAACTCTAATCAGTTTTTTTGATACAATGTGAAGAATATCGACTAGCAATTGTTTCACTCTAAATATATTTGAACTTTATTAGTCATGACTTTAGTCTATTACTCCTTGGTTTTCTTTGATATTTTAACTCAGATCAATCTGTAAAATTACCAAGATGAAAACCAAAGCTACATAAGTAGTATTAGTAATAGTAAGAAAAGATTAAACAGAATGTAATTCAAGGGGAATAAATTTTTAGAATAAAAATATATTATGATCGTGAAATTCAGGATCTATGGTAGAGAATTAGTGAATGCGTTTACACCATTCTGACCGATTTCGAGGGATTTCACCCAATGTGTCCAATCATTGGTCACGGTTATGGTGCCGACTCCAACCAGGTAGTCTGAATCTACCGACATGGCTAGCTTCAACAGTTAGTGACTTGATGGAATGATACCACGTCTTGGTTTGGCTACCCATAGCTTTCTTCCAACCTACTCTGATTTCTATTATTTTATTTAAACACATAGATATTGGTACAAGGAGGCACCAAATACATATACTCCACATTAATCATTCGATTTGTGTAAGGGATAAGGTAATACCGGGATACTCAAATCGAAGCAGGTGGTTTTCTTAGGGGACCACACCCCGAGACTTTGACCTAAAGATCTAATCCATAAGGCAGTGGAGCGACGTAAGGAGATGCAGTCCCATGGTAGCCGGTGAACAACAACAGGCTCATACTCCATTTAATTCCTTAGGGTCCTGGAGGTCATTTGAACCATTGGTTTGGAATCAGGGTTTTCCCACTCCCTTAAGTGGATTCTCCATATCCACAACCAACCTGGTTATAGTGCCGGACATTCGCTTTCCGTACTCTGAATTTCGTAAACAACACCCCCGCCACGAGAAGGCAGTGAGTAGGACTTCCATGAGAGTGGCTGTATAAGCCTGGTCATGTGAGAGGATTTAGAGAGGGAGAGCTAATTCTCTCCTATCTCGGTCATACCAGGGCATTTTGTGACCCTACCCCTATATCAGCTACCTTTACATACAAATCCCAACCACCCCCAATCGACGTGGATTCACTACTATATTAACCGATACATCACTATTGCTTACTACTGTGTATAATCCCATACTGCTGTTCTTAAGTTTAAAGCAGAGATCATCTGTTGCAACCAGTTACCAAGATGTTATTCCATTCAAACCCTGCTCTTACAATTCTTACTAATTGACACTTTGTTTTCAAACTTTCAGTCTATTTGTATGAATAGGATCGTGAAGATTTTTGAATTTTGCTGAAATCATAAACTGATCAATGCTAGACCACCATTGAAAACATGAAAGCACTCAATTAAACATTAACACCGTTTTATACCGCGTAAGTGTTCTAGAGGATAGGCGTTCTCGAGAGATCGAAGGTCCCGAGTTCAATTCCCATCTACTGAATCCTGTTTGTGCATTGTTTGAAATACGATACTATGAAGAAATGGTCGTCCAATGCTTTCAGTTTTTCAATGATGGTCTGATATTGATCGATTCATGATTTAAATGAAATCTCTGTCTTCTGTTATACTCTGCTAATTTTCATTTAATTTTCTTGTTTTGTTTTTTTTACTGCTTTCATTCTTTTTAGTACTTTTTCTGTTGTTCGTTTGGCATTCTATGGATGATATTACATGGTACAATTACATTTGGATTCTTATTCATTACATTAATAATAATTTATTATGAAGAAGTTGATATTTTACAACTTATTGAAAATCGTTTACCATCTTTATTACAATATAAAAAATCACAATAAATTCCAGTTATTAATTATACTCTTTCATTTGTAATGTTCTTTATTTCAATTAAATGCTTCTATAGTCTTTCACAGTTTCTATTTCTTTATTGAGTTCATTCAATATCTTGTTGAATAATTAATAAGAAAATTACTTATGGTGTTGTAATAATTATTTTAAAATGTGTTTAAATTATACTTTTCTTTGATGGAATTTTGTTTTCTTTAGCTGGATGGTTTCGTCTAGGAGCATTCATTGTTATTCTGAACGATATCATTATCTATCTGAAGTATGTGCTGATGATGTTGTTCAAAAGAACGATTAAAGTTCCACGATTAAAACATCCACCTCGAAAAATAAAACTTCATCAAAATCATCCATCTGAGCTACAAATCTCCACTATTTTTTGTGCTTGAACTGTGTATAAATATAATTTAATGAAATTTCATATCATTCCATAAAAACTTTTATTTTTCTTGTGAAACTATGCATGGATCGATAATGACGCATAAACCTCCCTTAAATTGATTAACATTCATAACTCTCATAAGCTTTAAAGTTGAATTGTTATGCTCAACTTTAGCGACTGTTAAACTGGCCTTGAAAACGTTTAACTAATCAGGATTGAGCAAATGTGGATTAATGAAACACTGTACGAAACACAATTATTTACGAGGGTATCATTGAGTGCGAGTGTGCTATAATGACGGCCTTAAGAGATGTTAGATAATCTTGAGCCTGATCAGATAGCCAATCAGGATGCAGTTTTTGTGAAAGAAAACTGTAAGATTTACGCAAATTTTAGGACTTTAATGTCATTATTTGTTAAGGGATACCATCGGTAAATTAGGCTGGAAATCTTGATGGCTTCTAAACTTTAACTCCCAATCCTAACTCTTTTAACCTAACTTCTCTGGACAAAATAATCACCATCCATTCCATTAAAAATCGAGAATCTAGTGAGAGACATAGTATCCAACATAAAGCTATCCATGATAACGTTTTAAATTCGGTCTAATTTCCAACATCGGCCACCTTAATTTTGATTACTCTCTCAAGGATTTGAGTATAACATACTTTTATCAAATATTACTTTTGTGTGATTAATTCATTATACCCTGTGGGTTCCTAACCGTTAAAGTTTAGTGTTAACTTATATATTACCTAACCACCATTCCTAAATTTAATTCTATCTCAATTCTAACCTTAAAATCTATTGCAACAAAATATCACTTCTTTTAATATTTTTTTTCAAACTGATTCATAATCCTTTCATCTCCATATTCACAAGTTCGGGTTTTTTCCTCATCAATCTGACCCATAATCAAAGATACACTCACTTCTATGTTGATTTGTATACCCATTTGATTTTTGTTTGGGAAAAAAAAGAATTACATTTATGAAATGATAACATAATTGCATGTTGCATATTATGCTAAACATTAATTCACTTTAATTTAATACAAGAATATTGTATCTTGAATAAACATCATACTGAAATAAAGTATATATTATAATGAGTAATCATACAGTAGTAATGTTGAACGAAAATCAAAATATGAGTCTCCTATTCCTTCATCTTATCATAACCAACTATAGTAAGTCAGTAGTTCAAGTCTTGGTTCTGTATCTTTAATATGACCTTTAAACCGTTTCTTTAATCTTGGTTAGTTTTCTCTGTGTTCGATCATCGCTATCTCCGAAGGATTGCTGACATACAGTGACAACACTATGTTAGTAATGCAGAAGTTCAGCATCGTGTGTTAGGGCACAGAAACGATAATCCTATTAGTGTCACCATCTTAAAACACCAACTTCGATGGCTTGGATATGTTCTACGAATATCACCCCAGAGAATTCCATGTCGTGCATTATTTGCCGACTCTGGAACTGGTTGGAGAAAGCGGAGAGGTGGTATGAAAGAAAGTTGCAAAGAGCTGGCTTGTGTTGGCCCTTCACGACTCCCTGGTTGGGGTCCAGGAGATGGTGCGACACAGTGGCTAGAGACGTTATCAGATATGGCTCAGAATAGGAGACAGTAGCGATCCTGCTGTAACCTTCTTTTACTTTCTTCATAAAAGATGGATACTTCTTCCTTAACTGAAAGATCTCTTTCTGATTGTACGTTTCTGTTTCCCCCATTATTATTATTACACTACCTTACACTAATATGTTCGTTATTGTTTTTTTTACGCTCCTTACCTTTTTTTCCTTCTTCGCTTCAAATTCTCATTGTTTTTGTGTGGCGCATATATATTTGGTGCCCTCTTGTACCAATATGTATGTGTTCAAATAAATAAATAAGTTCTTTATTATGTTCAAACCTAATTTTCACTTGTTAATAAAAATTATATGCTTACTAGTAGCTAATTTTGAGATGGATATTGGAAGTCTTAGTGGGTGTAAAGGTATGATTGGTGTAATCCAACCATATCAAGTATGAGGCAAGTGTATAACAGATGAAACTCAGCTATAGTCTCATAATCATATCATGAATTGATTAAAGCTGGAAATGTGAATTATTAGGTGCAAACTTGTTAATTCCAGAGAAATAATTCGGGTTACTGCATTTCATTTCGAATCATGTTACAAACTTCCCAACCTAAGGATACATTTATGGTACATATGACGATCAACAAGATTGTGCTTACTGAAACAACTAAGTTCACCATCCAGTCACATTTTGATCGATATTACTTTTTGGTTTGGCACCACCTAGCCTTCTAACTAATTCATAGTTGCACATAGATGATTCCTGAGCATACATTACACATACTCCAAACACTTTGGCCTTTTATAGTTTACGTGCATTACAATCTAATTCATGTCATGGACGTCAACAAATCTGAGAATATTTGAAGTACTTATCTTCCAGAATAATCCAAACCTCAATGAATATAGTTGGTATCACTTATTCGTTTGGTGTTTTCCAGCAATTGATACTGTTTTACAATGTCGCTCATGGTCAGCGTTTTTCCTTGATTGAATATGATCAACAATCATGTCGGATTTCACCAAGTTATGATAATTAAATCATTTATTTATCTACGTTGATCGCAAAAAGTAGTTTACATTCTTGGTTTACAGTACTAACATTCATCATAAGGCCATGTTCATTCATTAATATTTTCGAACAACGGCTTGTAGTAGGAATGACTAGTCATTATTATTCTTATTATTATGACACATTTGAGTGATTGTTCTCACAGTTTTTATGAAGCCGCGGTTTCATAGTGCATACAGTAATATGACGTCACAATATTTATCTACTTTTGTTGATTTCAATTATCGTGAAAGTAAACGATACTGAAGACCTTGAGAGACTTGCTTAACAATCATAGTAAAAGGTTTAAGTATAAAACAATTGGCCATGAAAAGCAATAAAATCACAACATAATAGTTTTAATGCGATTAATTGGCTCATGAATGTTGAAATATGCGTTACAGTTAAAGAAGAACATTGAGTTTACATATTAGGAGTTGAACTAGTTTTGTTATTCAGGTTTGTGACCCTGTAAGGTTTTCTATCACCCAAATGATAACGGCTGTGGTTCAAAAAGGTTGGGAATAAGTATTAAGTGTTAAACTAAAGTTATGAATCAGGGTTAGGGTTTTCATCGCAAACTGACATCAAATGTAATACAACGATACATCGACAGTCCTTCGTTTACACGCTTAGTTGAGATTTCGAGTTAAGAGCTAGTTTTAGGCTATTGTCTAGCAACGCAAACAGCCTTGAGTATGTATTCATTGAATCACATCAAATGTCTTGACATATAATCAGTATCAAAAGTAGGTATTTCTTGATATTTGGTCTAAGTACCATCTTACACTAGATATTTTTATTACCTTCAAGCATTTTAAAAGCGAAATATTGTCAGTTTCCATAATAATAAGAGGGCTATTATTCACTGCACTTTCAATTTCATGCCGAAATCCGTGATTTTATTCTTGAAGCTGTACAATTATATTTATATCCACAGTGTTCAGAAGTGCAGTGTTTTTAGTGATGTATCAGCTGTCAGTTCATGACGAATACTGCCTACAGAGCAGTTTGCCTAGATAATTATTATTTTGAATTTCATTTAATAATATGCGGTTAAGAATAAAGTTAATTCTAACCATGTTGTTGTAGATAACCAAAACGAGCTTATATCATTTATATGAGTAAGTTTAAACTGTGATAAGCATAAAGCAACTGCAACGAATTTCTAACTAGTCAAAAAATGGCATATTTAAACACAGTTTATGGAAAAGAAAACAATACTGTCTCAAAATATAAAGAGCTTTTCTGGGATTTATACATCTCTCAATGTCTCTTATAGGTTAATCTGCCTATAAATCGAAAAAAAACCTCATACAAACCTGTATTTATCATTCTAATGGAAGTGATAAGTTGTCCATCTCGAACTCATAAAAAGACCCATATTATTCCTAGTTAGTATTAGGTATTTATTACTAGGATAAAGAGTTTAAAGTGGCTATATGAACTCAGTAGCTAAGTGGATAACATGATGACATTTAGAACAAAACGTACCGGGTTCGAGTTTCGGACTCAACATCAACTCTGCGTTGTAGGGACATCCAGCTGACGAGTATCAAGTACGACGAAACGAGCGCCGTGGACTCCACTGAGAGCCACAATCGATCTATTATTAACATGAGCTTTACTGTAAGATAGTTTTTAGCTATAAGTTTGGTTGAGTTTCACCTATAAATGCAGTCGACGCTGTCTTAATATTTTTTCCATGAAATATATTGCCACTAATGTAAAATTTGCTTTAGGACTGCAATTTAGGGATTGTGTTTATTTGCTTGTTATATACAATGTCCAGAGAAACGATTAAACATTCGTAACTTTTAACATTATCATTTTTAAAGAAGGAGATTATATTTGTAGAAATCTCAGCGATTGAACTGTACAAATAAAATCTCCCTTAATGTCCTACATTAACTCGACCCCTAACTATTGCGAAACCTGGAAGATGATCTCGCAATATCGTGGATTAGTTGAAGTTATAGATTAATACTGTTGGATGTTTTCCGGCTTAGTGGTCTAGATTTTAAGCGTCCACAAGTTTTATGTTCGAGTCCCTCCATTGGGATTGTTAATGTGCACTGTTGAGTCAGATACTAAGACGAAACGGCTGTACAGTGCTTTCAAGTTTTCACTGGTGGTCTAACATTGATCGGTCCATGATCTCGATATACAACATATCTTTGTTTTCCAATAATAATGGGGATTTTTTATTTATAGTAAAAGTAATCTTTCTCTCTTAAGGATTTCATGAGTTTTCCTATCTAACCAATGAACGTCGAAGTCAGATTACTATTACTTACTTATTTACTTACGCCTGTTACTCCTAATGGAACATAGGCCGCCGACTAGCATTCTCTAACCCACCCTGTCCTGGGCCTTCTTTTCTAGTTCCATCCAATTCTTGTTCATTTTCTCATGTCTATTTCCATTTCCCGGCGTAATGTGTTCTTTGGTATTCCTCTTTTCCTTTGGCCTTGAGGATTCCATGTGAGGGCTTGTCTTGTGACACAGTTGGGTGCTTTCCTCAATGTGCGTATATAAAGTACTTTTTCCATTCACTGAAATTTTTACCAATGCGGGTTGAGTTTTTCGAGAACTTTATTTGAACTGCGCTCGATCTTTTATTAAGATAACCTACAAATTCAATCAAACTCTACAAAATGCCTTCAAAAAAACTATGACAGTCAGTTTAGTAGTGACTTACTTTAAGAAGTTATGAGTAGTAAAGTTCGAACATGTTGGAAGCTAAACATTTGTCAAGAACGACAATGAATGATCATCGTATTATTTCACAGATTGGTTGAAATTGAAATCGTACCATTGAATATACCACTGTATCACTGATAGTCCGATTGGTTAAAAAGTTCCTCTTGTAACCTGAACATTCTAGGTTCGATCTTTTTTTGGAGTCGCATAGCTAAAAAAAAGAACTCAATCTATAACAAAACATGTTCTATCTTGCCTTCAATTGTACCTCAACTGAAATCAGTCTCTGACGAATACAACCTACAAATATTCATTTAAGCTTTTATTTATGTTTATTGAATGAAAAAAAAAATCAATAGTAGTACTTCATTCATTAATGCTAATATATAACTAGAGGAAATGTAGATCATCTAATTAATTGATCGATTAATTTAAGTACACAATCGTCATGTAATTTGTCGAAAAAAATGTACCAGAACGATAAGAATAAAATGAATTTATCATTCTATTTTACAGACTTCTTATCAATTACAAAAAAGTAATATTATAATAAATAAATATTCGACACTATTTAGTTAGTTAATTTCAGTTGAGTCTCAACGTCTAATAGGTTACATAAATCGAAACCTTTACAATAATGAGTCACATATTCTAATGTACCAAGTTTGTGTTCGAGCTCTTCTAGAATATTGCACGTTTATTCTTAGCAGTGCGCGCATAAAGGATAAATTAAGGCTAGTATCAATGCAGAGACGATTTATGCTTCGTATTCTTGGCGCTGGTTGTACCTTAACTTATAATTCTAGATGTAATAAACTTGGGCTAGACCCTTTATGAAAGAGAAGACTCAAACTAAATCTTATCTTTTTCTTCGAACTACTTGATAAACTATCGTTTAATTCAATCACGTGGTTCAAAATGCAGAAACGTCTCAGTATGACATCCGCAATTCCTTGGCACTAGTGAAACAAATCTAACACAATCTATCCGTAAGATAAAATCACTCCCATTATTTGTTCGCTACATCGTTGCATACTGCTCCTCTGAAAATGCATTGAATGTACTAGCACCTGTAAGTGTATCTCATTCTACAAGTAGTATTATAGGATCTTTAAATGTTTAGCCATTTTTATTATTGCATTCCCTACTTGCTGTCACTTTATGTTAACACTGTCCCTAGCAAGTTTAACTAATTTGAATAACATCAACAGTATATTACTGTGTCACATGATACACGCATTTTGATAGACCTGATTCATATATTTTGGTAATTACTGCTTTGTTGTTCCATGCTCTCTGTTTTCTTTTTAATTTCTCTAGTTGTAGATAATTATCATTAATTGGATCTGGCACACGAATTGACCTTAATTACACCGTTCATAAATCAACAGGCTTATCACTGAAGAAAAATTAAAAGTTCCCGGCTGACGCATTGGATTGCTGTAATATATGTACTACCTAAACAACTACTGAACTAGTATACTTAAAACTTTCTTTTATCACATGTTTGTTCTGTACATCTAATGTTCCTCTTTATATCAAATTGATCATGCCTGTAAACTGGCGTGAATTCTGTAATTATTATTTTCAGAATATAAATTATTATTATTGTGGATGATTTGAAACGATACAGGAAGCTTTGAGTATAAAATCTCATTCGTTTTGCTGTATTCTACACTAATACGGTAATAAGACTAATCTGGATAACTGGGTTTATGATAACGCTAGATTGAATACTCAAACGATCTACTATATAAAAACAGACCAGGTCACTTTATATCAGATACTTAATTTATCACAAAGATAATGAACTAGTGCAATGTTAGACATTACTTTACTGCACACAATTTTAAGCAGTCGCTTTCAATGATTCCCGAGTAAAAAAATTAATAATAAGAAAATAAATTACATATTTATTTGTCAGTAAGCTGAATGACTATTTGTCCACACTCAGTGACTAATCACACTCACTTCCAATACATCACAATCAAATTGAAACTGGTAATTAATAATCAAAAGAAGAATATACAAAATGTAATATTAAATATACTTAAGATTGATACAACACCACCTAATGGAAACTAGTCTTGTAATGTAGGGTATAGTTAATCATTATAAATATTAGAGATTTAATATTCATAATAAATAATGAGTAAATTGACAGTTATCAAAAAGAGTTTTATGGAAAGTGTATATCAGAAAAAAATGTATTATGAAATATAGAATATCATACTATAAAGATCATATTCAATCAACTGTCGATGGTTGATAAGAAATAATGTTTTTTTTCAGGTTAGATGCCATTGTAAACCCATCAATATAACTTCGATAATTTATCGTACAATTTAGAAGCGACAGTTTCAATTTATCTAGTGAATTTGATATATATATATATATATATCTGACAGCGCAAATATGCTTGTAAAGATTTGTTCATTCCTGTCATGAATGTTAAGAACGAAAAATGAATAACACGAAAGCTAAGAACTTAATTCCACTACCAGTCACTATCCAACTTGTAAATAAGTGATAATATCGAGTCAATCTAACCAGCATACACAGATCAACACTAAGTTTTTAAAAATCAATTCAAGTGAATCCACTTGACGAGTTCAAATTAAACGGAAACATTTATCCTAGCTTCATATGCAAGCTCGTATAAGAAAAGTTATTAAAATACACGTTAGTGAAGTTAATAATCTGTATAAAATATAAATTAATGATAAGTGAGTTGAAATTCTGTAGACATTGGAATAAAGACTGAAGTAAAATCAAGAAAAATATTCACGAACTGAGGTCAAATGCATCTAAAAATATAACCTATTTGTCAGGATTCGAACAGCTAACATATGACTGTCAAACAAAATAACAAACAGCTCATCTCACACACGAATAGAAATGGAAGCACGGTTGGGCATTATGAGAGCGACTTTGTCACAATCGATATTCAAACATTTCATATTTGGTCTGACTAACTCAAGTGGAAGATTTCACATATTCCTCATGTTCATTAAAAACGTAGTGAGTGATTGATTGATATGGAGAATTCATTGCTCTTCGACTTGTCGTATGAGATCCTTCTGTTCATAAGCCATTACAGACAATTCCAACCTGATCCGCAAACACTTCCACAATTCACACTCAACAATACGTGAGTGTGTATCTATTCAGGTCTAAACTACTAACACAATGAATCAATTACGAGAATTGAGACAGTTCTGTATAACACTGAAACACGGGAATCCACCACTGAACAACGTCATCTCATCCATGTAAAAGCAAATTATGAGTGAGAGAAAATGTGGTTGAATAAAAGTGTTCAATTCACTTTTGCGGTTTCGAGTAAGATGAACGTTGAAAGAAGTCAGCTGGCACTCATACTATCGAAACAAACTCTACTTGTCTCAACAATGAGGATAAACTACGTTAAGCAAATACTAATAATGAGTTAAGATCTAAAAGAGAAAAAAAACTGGCTTGTCTGATGGTCATCCAATGATGATTGTACCTTGTTGTCCCTAAATTACTGACATATGACATTTTCCTGAGAGAAATTGGCCTGAACAAACGAAGTATTTTTATTACTAGTATCTGGTCTACTGTAATAATTGATATTGTCATGTATGAAATATGACAATGTGAAGAATGGTCTGTTGACTACCGGAACTCCCTTATTTAAGGTCTTTACAGCATCGTGCATGAGGTCAACAGGTTAAGTTTAAGTAAAATTTTCTTTAACTTGTTTATTTAAAATGTGTGTGTCCAGAAATACATCACTTTTCAAAAAGAGTTTAATCTCATTCAATGACGACTCAATCAACGGTTCCGATAAAACACATGCTAACGAATTCCAACTGGGGAATTAAAATAGTGAGTAATTTGTGAACTAACTGTTTCATCGATATTCTAACTATCACGCTCAACTATCATTAACGATTACACAAAAAATAGTTCAACAGTAGAGTGCATAAGCGTAATATGTATTGAATAATGATGCACTTATAGAGGCACAACTCTTCCAATCCATAATGAGAAACAATATATAAATGACAAATCACACTAGTTTACATATCATCACACCGAATACAACAACATAGACAGTTGGAAAAATGAAATCGTCGCTTACACTCGTCTTCTTAGTAGCCCTTGGGTACGCCACCGCCTACCAAATACCACATGAAAGTCCGAATGATTACGGTGGCGATTGCTACGGTGGTGATTGTGGTGGCGGTTATGGCGATAGTGGGTATGGTGGTGGCGGATATGGTGGAGGTGGTGGTGGTGGCTACGAGGGTGGCGGTGGTGGTGGCTATGAGGATGTCGGATATGGTGGTGGCGGTGGTGGCGGTGGCTACGAGGGTGGCGGCGGCTATGGTGGTGGTTGCAATGGTGACGATTGTGGTGGCGGTGGTGGTGGCGGTGGCGGAAGCTATGGTGGTGGTGGTGGCGGCAGCTATGGTGGTGGCGGTGGTGGTGGCAGCTACGGTGGTGGCGGTGGCGGTGGCGGCGGCGGCGGCTATGGTGGTGGTTGTAATGGTGGAGGTTGTGGAAATGGCTTCGATGAAGCTTTCCCTGCTCCCTATGGTGGTGATCAAGGACACGGTGGCAACGGCCATGGAAAGGGTGGTGGTAGAGACAGTGGCCATGGAAAGGGTAATGGCGGTGGCAAGGGTGGTGGCAAAGGTGGAAAAGGTGGCAAAGGTGGCAAACCCAATGCTTACAAACCCAATCCTTACAAACCCAATACTTACAAACCCAATACTTACAAACCTAATACTTACAAACCCAACATTTATGGAAGCACTTACTGAGGCACCAGTTGAATTGTGGATGATTCTAACTTGCTTGTGTTACACTGTCTACTATCCTATTTTGCTACACACCTCTCAATTCAACTCACTGTAATATAGTCGTGTTTGAATTCGAGATGAATAAAACCTATTCATTCTAAATAGTGTTTTCCATGTACGCTTTGTATTGTGTAAAGAACGGACGTTAGTTTCTGTGATATTTCGAACTGTTGAGAAGTACGTGTTGTTAGTAGACAAGTGCGCGCCATGCCTCGCTGTTTTGACCTCATAATTATAGGAAAATGTACATATGAATTCACTGAACAATGCATTTTGCACTAGTTTGTATTATCCCGTTGTTGGTATATTTGACTGTAATTTGACCAGTCTTGGTTGACACATGGACATCGTATGAGGAATGTCCCGATATAGCCATTATGACACGAACTAATGTAGGATAGGTGGAATGTGGCTAGTAGTGGAATCCAGGACACGCGTTTTGTTCTAGTTTGAACTTGTCGAATGGGTGGAGGCAATCTGCGAAAGGTGAAATGAAGCTACATTAAGTCCACGCTCATCCTAAATTCCACTGTTAGCCACACTCCATCTATCCCATTTCACTCGATTGTCTAGACTGTTTATCAGCAGATGTGTCCATGGCAAATACCGTAAATGTAACTGAATACCTAGTCGAACGCATGTCACTTTATAGGAGATACGTGGATGATATTATAGTTATCTGTGAATGAAAGGACCATATGACATGTTTGTTGAATAAACTTGACGTTTATCAAAACTGCATCAATCTGTTATGGGAAGAGGAGAAGAGTGACCAACTTCCGTTCTTAGACATACTTATAAGTAGAAGAGAAGACAGTTCAGTCGAACGATCCATTTTCAGAAAGCCAACTTGGACAGGCCAATATCATATTTATCATAGTTACTGTCCAGTGCAATGAAAAAGGGTTGTGATAATGGGCCTATTTAACAGGATTATTCTTATTTGCACAAATGACGATACTGATGACGACGTTAGGTTGTTGGACAAAACACAAATGGAAAGTGGTTATTCGTTAAAATTCATAAATAGATAGGAAGGTGATGGTATAGTGAGGCCCACTACAGCCTTGGCACAAAACAGCCTGTCTAAAAAACCTTACTGTTCAAAGGTGATTCAAATAGCCTTATACTGAAACAAATGATAAATCAGTTGTTAACAAAACGTATTACATAGGAAAGGTCATTATCAGGGGAAGAACAAGGCCCATGCTTCATCAAAACCTAGGAGAACTAGTCAAACTCGACTCGACGCCACACTACAACTGGTGAAACTGAAATTATGAACACTTGGTAATCGAGATCAAACTTTCCAAAGAAGACAATTATGGCTAGTGTATCGCTTATCTATCCCTTTCTGTCCCATGTTTTCATATTAATATTTTTCAAATTATAATATACTGGTAATAACTCGGCATGACGTATAAAGATAAAGGTAACATTATTGTAATCGACTCCGACGTACATGTTATACATTTTCGACCTGTATCTTTTATTCCCTTCGACCCGGAAGTTTAGTTTGCCACACTGGAGTCTCAATTCGAGACCTGCCGCATTACGAGCCAGAGGCAAAAATACGACTACTCTCTGGAATCTTTACCCGGGGATCATTTTGTAGCTGTCTGTGAGATAGTCCTCAACTCCAACCTGCCAAACGTTTACGATCCTCTCAAGGAGGCGATCCTCAGATATTTCCTCCCATCGAGGGAGGGACGATTGAGGACGTTATTAGCACGTCACCCCTGCGTGATGCTAAGATGAGCCACCACCTCACGTGCCTGCAATCTCTCGCGGGGCCTACTACAGCCAATTTTAAATTTGTTAAAGACATGTTGCTCGAATCTCTACCAACACATATCCAACCAACAATCACGGCACTGCTCGAGGACACACCACTCAATCAGGTGGCCCTCATAGCAGACAAAATATCAGCAACTACATAGTTGCCTCAACGTCACGTTCGAACATGGACATCGACGCTAGTCGTTCACCGGCTCAAGGTGATGGGGGCGGTTGTATTCATACACGTCTCAATTTTCGAGATCGTTCCGACATACACTAAACCTACGTTCTTAGAGCTAGGTCACGCTCTCGCCCAACGAAGGCATCTTCCAAGCCACGCCAAAAGGCGGCTTCGGAAGTGAGTGTGGGTTGGTGCTGGTTCCCCCTTGCCTTCGTGCCCGGTGCCTGCCGTTGTCGAGCCCTGTGCTCATAAAAGGCAGAAAACTTTCGGGCCGGAAATTAAAAGCGACAGTACCCCGAGTCACGGCAAGACCAAGCCGACTGGCACCGGACAAGTTAGCTTTCGCTAAACGTGAGTTTTACAATTCACTAGCTACTGGTATTATTCATCCTTCTCACAGTTCCCGGGCCTCACCTCTTTACATGGTGCGCAAAAAGGATGGGGTTAGCTGGAGATCATGCGGCGACTACCGAGCATTAAGCCTAGTTACACGCTTCGTTAGCTATTCCATAGCCCACATATACAACATCACGGCATCACTCAAGAGCACGACTATCTTTTCTAAGGTCGATCTAGTACGAGCATATCCCAGTCACTTTTGAAGATATTGAGAAAACCGCTATCACGACTCCTTTTTGTCTGATTGAGTCCCTACGAACGCCATTTGGATTACGGAATGCTGCGCAAACTTTCCAAAGGTTTATCGATAGCATAGTACGAGACTTAGATTTTGTTTACGTCTATATTGATGACCTGCTAATCGCACCATCAAATGTAAACGAACATTAACAACGTCTTATACTATTATTTCAACGTCTTTCGGATAATGGTAGAGTAGTCAACTCGGAAAGGTGCGAATTACGCAAACCAGAAATAATGTTCTTAGGTCACATCATCAAACAAGAGGGTATTTTACCTTGTGTGTAATAAGGGAGTAAAACGTGCCATTCTCACTCAAGGAGCTGAAGGCATTTCTCAGTTTGGTTAACTTCTATCGGCGTTCTATCCCACACGCGGCAGAACGGTCACGACTATTAATCGACTTACCTCACGGTAATCCACGCAAATTAGAATTGAACGACCTCGCAAATACTGCATTCTCAGGGGTCAAAACAGCTCTTGCTCAAATTAAACTTCTCGCACATTCTGAACCACCAGCCATGCTTAGTATAGCGGTTGATGCAGCGGATTTCGCCGAAGAAGCCGTTATTCAACAGAACGTTTCCAGTAGTTGGAAACCTATTGAATTTTTCTAACGACGTCTTACTCCCTCGGAGACGAGATAAAGCGCTTATGGTCGAGAGTTACTGGCGGCCTACTGTGCCATCAAACATTTCCGGCACGCAGTAGAAGGTCGCAATTTCGTCTTATTCACCGACAACAAGCCTTTAATGTACGCTCTGCATACCAAGTCTGACCGTTACTCACCTCGAGAATGCAGACATTTTGACTATATCTCTCAGTTCACGACAGACCTTCATCACATTAAAGGCGAGTCGAACTAAGTTGCTGATGCTCTGTCACGTATTCAAGTGAATGCAGTCACCTCACCGGTGTCATGTCTTTCTGCCATGGCTGCAGCTCAAGCAAGCGATCCCTCCTGCGCAGAAGCACAACATTCTACGTTCTTTCAGTGCCTGGAAGTACTCCTAGCTACCAGCTCAGATACTATCCCGTGTGGTATTTCTACTGGTCTTCCACCACCCATCGTACCCTCTGATTACCGTCGTCCCGTCTTCGATGCCCTGCATTGATCGTCTCAAACCAGCACACGTCGATGACAGTGCCCTACTCAATAACTTGAGACCCAATGATAGACCTATCAAACCTATTGGCGGGATCCCCACATCTACTTCAGATCCCACACTAGATATGTCAGAGACCTCATTCTCACATTTCGGTCAACAGCACGTGTCATCTGTACCATCTACGGGTGAGACTTCAGTCTGACGTCCAGATCGAAAGACCACGTTGCACTTGACTTCGGATGAGACTGCAGGCTCACGAAATACGAACGAGATTACCGTCTCACGTCCGGTCGCCGCACAATCAACAATGGATACGGTGTAGGACTCTGTTCCTGCACTATATGCATGCTACACCTTTCCGTTTTCTTTGATTTTTTTGTATCCTGAGCCGACGCCTCCGACCATAGCCCGTTTGGTATCGTTGACTTCAGTCAATCTTGGCCCGATCACCCACGCTCTTGTCAACGCACTCAGTTGATATTCTGGTCTCGAATCTGTCTGGCACTTGTTTGTTATGGTCGCTTCTGGTTCCTCGGCTCAACGCGATTTCGTCCTACGCCTGCAGCGTTTTCTGGTCGGGACCCCTACGAACGCAATCCTGGATACAAATCACTCTGGTGTGGTATGCTAACTCGAGCAACAAATACAGCACACGTCTCCTGGTATCGTTCTTCGTAAAAGACCTTCTTTGGAAACTCGAGGATCAACGATCGCTTCCTGTTCCGCCAATCCCCTCGTCCTATAATCAAACGTTTGCTGATCAGTCCCAAGAACTAAACCGCTACCTATTGAAAGTGTAAGCCCTTTCTAGCGGGGTCTCCTGTAGTGACGTACTTTTATCAAAAGAACGCGATTGGTTTAATGGAAACAATTATTATTATAACCAAATGTACCAGTGATTGTTTTACTGTACTTGTTTGTTTAACTGTACTAAAGACATCCATTATTCTTCCATTCTTTCTTCCGTTGGTTGTGACTTTGCATGAACTCAGTAAATTCGCTTATACTCCTTTAGTACGATCTTGTTATTCGTTTGATACCACGAGATCACCAACAAATATATATAGCTACAACCTTCATTCGCCTTCTGATATTTGGTACGCAACCTTCCTGTAGTGGTGATCATAGTCAACCTCGACTCGACGCCAAACTACAAGCTGAACCATCATTTAAGTATCACTCAGAATGTATTGATTTCCTGAAAACATTTGTTTTCAACTTATTATCATGTCTTTGTTCAATCAAACAATTGAGAAATGCTAGTTTGTGGCCACTGGATTCTATTTCCTTTGTAAGTTTGATGCTCTCTGAAATGCTGTTTACATTTTTGAACAATTCTTCCAAACCATTCCGTTTAATGATAATAAAAATGTCATCTACATACCGTAACCAGA